CATGCCAGGCGAGCACGCTACCGCTTGAGCCACATCCCCAGCCCAATTAAAATTTTTAAAAGGAACTATTTCCTGATAGCTTAACATGGGAATTAAGAACTTCTGCTGGTGTCATCACTCACCAATATTTTGAGCAAAATTTGCTCCAAAACAGAACAACAACAAAACAGATTATGTTACCATGATTCTATTTCTGTAAATATTCTCTCTGAAGAGGGAATCTCTTGCCTAGCATGTGTGAGGACTGGGTTCAATTCTCAGAACCATATATAAATACATAAAGGTCCACTGGCAACTAAAAAATATATTTTTAAAAAAGGGGAGGAATCTTTTATGAGCCTATTCAGAAGTTTGGTTAAGGTGGTATTTCTCCCCAGTTAAATTATTATTTTCTGACTTCCATATTCTGTCCTTTGGAAGGAAGGCACTAAATCTAATTCATGAAACACACATAGAAACAGGAGAATTAAACTTCACCTCCTAATGGGGCTTATGTACATATATTGTTTGAAATGCTGTAAGAAAGATTTGTCCATTTTTTATTTTTTTGAGAATTTATATTAGCATGTATGTGTATGTGTGTGTGTGTGTTTTCAACATTGTGGGTTGAAATCCAATACTGTTATTTTGCTGCTCAACTGTTTCTAGCTTAGTGATAGAGTGCTCACCTAGCATGCACAAAGCCCTAGGTTCAATCCTCAGCACTATGAAAGCTATTCAGAACTCTTCCAAGTTGGCTTTCTGTTCCTCTACTGTCCTCATTTTTAAAAAATTGTCATTTTCCCCTATATTTTGTTGTATAGCTTGAATTTTTATAGCATAAAATTAGATTATTTTCCTTTTAATATTGGGGGAGAGGAAAATATAAATACTACTTTGGTGTTTTACCAACCYATTCTCTGCTTCTCAACTACTTTGCAAGGCCAGAGAACGAAGAACTACTTCTTGGAGAAAGTAAACTTCAGTAGATATTTGTAAATGGTATGTCCAACGATAGTAACTGGAATGAATTTCAACAGTTTTCAAGTATGTGGGTGTTAGGTTTAAATTAAAAGATCCCCAGGAGCGGGGTGGTGGGAAGGCTAGGGGGTAAAGGTTTACATTCAATCACTGAGCAACACTTTTTTTTGCTTTTTGTTTGTTTGGCAGGGCTGGGGATTGATCCCAGGGCCTCCTGCATGTGTGTGCTCCACTCCGGAGCCACACCCCTACCCCCAACCAGTAAGGCTTATTACAAACCTTTGTGGTAGGCACCCGAAGGCCAAAAAAAAAAAAAAAAAAAAAAAAGAAAAAGAAAAAAGATGGGTGGGTAGAGGCACGAATTAGGAGGTTACATTATGGGAGAAATAAAGGAAAGCAGGCTTTTGAGTAAGCAAAATCTTCTATATAAGAGTTAACTTATTGAAGCCATTAACTATGGCAGTGTTAGATGTCAAAACACTTAACAGTCAAGAGACGGTGATGGCTGTGGTCAAGGGAACGGGCCCAAAGACACTCTCCTCAAAGTGAGGCATATAGGTGGGAGGTGGCTTAAAAATCACAAGAGTAAAACACTTACATGAACTATGCGCTATTATCAACACTTTATCAAATCACTAAACCTTACTATGATCCTGTGAAATAGCTTCTGTCGTTACCATATTACAGAGGAGGAAAGTGAGGCAAAGAAAGTTGACAAAACACTTCCGTACATATGGGATTATTTATTATCGGGTTAAGAACCCAAGCTCCCTGGCTCCTCTATAAATTCTGTCCGAAATACTTCCGAAAGAACTCCTCGTACAGTACCACCATCGCCACCTTTCCTTGAACTTCTTCCTTTTTGTTAGTTACATGTGTCTTTGAAGGACAGCATTTCCTCACATTTCCCCGTTTAGTTTTCCCTCCGGTGTAGACACTGCAGCCACAAACAGTCCCGGAGAAGCAGTAATTTGTTAAAAAAGGGAAACGTGCAGCAGACGCGACAAACGACACGCGGTGGACCCTGGAAGGAGACCCCTGACTGCACCATCACAACACGTCCGACAGCCCGAGTTCGGGGCGACAGCGACTATTTAGAATTCGGGGGAAAACCACTTCCGGCACGACCGGAAGCCCGACGGGGACCGTTTATGGTAAGGACCTTCAAATGGACAGTTCTTCTGGGTCCGGATGGTGATCTCTGCCTGGAATCAGAATCGTGGTGCCCAGAGCCTCTTGTAGGAGTGGAGTGAGTGGGGTTCCTTAGCCAGGGTCTTCCGGGTGGCGTTTATTATTTGGTCTAAAATGTCAATGGCATAAATCATGCGAATTCATGAACGTTGCTCATTCGGAAGCCTTTCCAAGATGCATTTCGTCCCTGCGTGACCTCCACTTAGACATTCACCAAATCCTTTTCATCGTTCTTGGAGAAACCGCCAGCGGCTTGCTTCCTCTCGGAGGTGCCGGTCTTTACTCTTCTTGTTTGCAAAAGCCTTTCTGGATTCGAGTTTGAGGCGAAACCACCCCACATTCGTAATTTTTCTACACCGACTTCCTTTTCTTTTCAGTTAAGCTCCTAAATTTCCAGCTCTTAAGTAGACGTTCCCACTAATGCAGTTACGTAGGCCCACCGTCCTTTATTTATTTATTTATTTTTTGATTCCCCACACCAGTACCCTTGCGGCAAAATAGCACCGAACTGGGAGTTAGAAAACCTGGGTTCTAGTCCCGACTGCCACTAACTAGCGGTATGACATTGTAGAAGTATTTTTGACCCCTCTGCATGCATTCCTGTTTCCTTTGCTGTAAAACGAGGGTCTTGTAGTATATAACAACCAAGGTTCCTTCCAGTTTTGACGTTTGGTTTATTGCCTCCAATGTGTCTTTCTAATTCCTGCCTCAATTACATACCTGGACTTAGGTTAATATCTTGTAGGGTCTTTCCTCTTACTCCTTGAATCAATGCCCTTGTAAAATCTGTTTTCAGATTAACTTAAAAATAATTTCCCAAGGAAGCCTGTGTTCCCTGCGCACTTTTTACTTCTTAGATTAGGGGTACATACCTAAAAAAAGATTTTAAACGTGCAGTTCTTGAAGTGTTTAATGTATGAATGAATTTCTAAATCTTAATGTGTTTATTTCTTTGAAATAAAGTCAGCATTTCATTTGATCTTTACTTGAATGAATTTTTTAAGGTAACTTGCTAACTATGCGTGCACACACACACACACACACACACACCTCAGAATCATCTGTATATAAACAAGATAATGACTTGTGAATATTTTTAACTTAGAAGTAATTAATCCTTAAAGCATATAAACTATCACTAAAGAAACCCATGATATAATGTAGTTTAAAGTAGCTGGTGACAAAGTATATACATCACCTCATTTTTTTTCTTTATAACCTGTGGAAGGAAGGACAGACATTAAAACAATTTTTTCTTTTTTTTTTACAGAGATTAGAAAAAAATGAGGCTCATAGGAAAGAAGTGATTTACTCAATCAAGATAACAACGCTGTCTGCTAAATGTCAGAGCAGGTATCCACCCAAGATTCTTTTGTTGTCTAGTCAGGTACTTTGTTCACTATACTGCACCTTTTTCATTTCTTTCGTTTGAAAACAAATATTCAGGGTTGGGACTGTAGGGCACACCTGTAATCCTGGTGGCTCAGGAAGCTGAGGCAAGAGGATTTCAAGTTCAAGGTTGGCTTTAGCAAGGCCCTAAACAACTTAGTGAGACCATCTCTCAAAATGAAAAATAGAGTGGGATATGGCTCAGTAGATAAGTACCCCTGGGTTCAATTCTCAGTACCAAAACAAAACAAACAAACAAAAACTCTATTTGTTGTTTCAGGAACATAAAATACATATGGGGAAGATTGGTTAAAATGTAACATTTGTAACATTTAATTTTTAATTTACTGTCCAGTTATGTAACAAAACTCACTTGCTCAGGCCCCAGTTTCTTTGATCATATCTTGTAACTATTAATCATTTCTGAAGAATTTTAAAGAGTATATAGTAGAAAATATATGTAAAGAATAAATGGGGCTGGGGTTGTGGCTTGGCAATAGAGTGCTTGCCTAGCATGTGTGAGGCACTGGGTTTGATCCTCAGCAACACATAAAAATAAATAAATAAATAAATAAAATGAAGGTATTGTGTCTACAACTAAAAATATTTTTTAAAAGAATTTAATTTCGGGCCTGGGGATGTGGCTCAAGCGGTAGCGCGCTCGCCTGGCATGCGTGCGGCCCGGGTTCGATCCTCAGCACCACATACCAACAAAGATGTTGTGTCCGCCGAGAACTAAAAAATAAATATAATAAAAAATTCTCTCTCTCTCTCTCTCTCTCTCTCTCTCTCTCTCTCTCTCTCTCTCTCCTCTATCTTTAAAAAAAAAAAAAAAAGAATTTAATTTCTATGAAAATGTTTTGTAATTATATTTTATTGTAATTCTGTAATTAATCTATAAGCATATTGTAGAAATACCATGTTGTATGAGAAACAGTTTAAAATTTTTTATAATTTTTTGATTTTTGAGATAGGGTTTCACTATGTTGCTGAGGTTGGCCTCAAACTTGTGATCTTTTTGCCTCACCTGCAGAGTAGCTGGTGTTATAGGCCTGTGGCACTACGCCTAGCTAAGAGTATTTTAAGGCAATGTAAAAGTTGAGAATTTTGTTCAAGATAGCTTTATAAATTTTATAGTTACGGTAAACACATTGAATTGTTCCTTTTTTTTTTTTTTTTTAAGTACTGGGAATTGAACCCAGGGCCTTTCTAGGCAAGCACCTTATCACTGAGCCATATCCTTGGCCCCTTTTTTAAAAAAATTTTTTTAGTTGTTGATAGACTTTTATTTTTATTTATTTGTATGCCATGCTGAGAATTGAATTCAGTGCCTCACACATGCCAGGCACATGCGCTACTGCTGAGCCACAACAGCCCCAGCCCCTCTCTGGCCCTTTTTTAAGATTTTATTTTGAGACTGGATCTCCCTAAGTTGGCCAGAACTTGTTGGCCTCAAACTTGCAATCCTCTTGCCTCAGCCTCCTGAGAAGCTGGTATTACAAGCATGTTCCACTCCGCCTGGGTTTTCTTTTCCTTTTTTTTTTTTCTTTTTCTTTTTGTGATGTTGAAGAATAATGTTTAATGATATAAAACACTATTTACAATATATTCTTTAGGGAAAAATTATACACATAGTATGACTTCATTTTTTTCTAAGTAAAGTAGATATAAGCATAAAGAAAAGGTCTGAAAAGATACACATTATTATTATTATTATTATTATTATTATTTTACTTTTTAGTTGTAGATGGACACAATTAGAGATTATAGGTGGATGAGAATATAAAAGCTTGGTAGATAGGAGTGGGGAGATTTTCTGAGTGTAAGCAATGAAGTGAGAGCTTATATAGGATGTTAGCACATTGTACTAGCTAATGGGGAGTCATCAGAGGGTGTTTAGCAGAAGTAATTGACTTCAGATATACAGTTTAGAAAAATCCCTTCTCTTGACTTGACTGAGCTCCTTCAGGGCAGGAACCCAGTTTTACTCACTGTTGTACTCTAATACCCTTGTACAGTGCTTGACATGTTATAGATCTTCAATTAATATATTTGCTATCTTGATATAAATGTTAATCCAAACATTATTTTTAAGTCTTTCTTTTTAGGAAAAACATGAATCAGAAGCTACTAAAGTTGGAGAACTTGCTACATTTTCTTCAGACCTATAAATCTCACACCGTTTGTAGGCAGCTGCACAGCCTGGGTCAAAGAAGAACATTAGTACAGTGGAGGCATGGATTTTCATCTGCTTACCCAGTGTGGACAGCTCAGATGTGCGCCTGGCCATGGCAAACAGATGTGCTCATTGGGGCTGCTTTATCGAAATACAGGCTTCTAGTAACAAAGGAGGTAGTTACAGATTTTTATCTCTTATAATATTATTTAGCCTGATATTAAAATGCTTCCAAAGAGGAGTAGAAATTCATTTTTAGTATTTTGTCATTTGTAGAATCTTTGTTACTTAATGCTGTACTCTAGGCTAGAGATCTTGGTGAGGAAGGGAAGTTCTGGTTTGTTGTTTGGTAATGCTGGTGAATTTGATGACCTAGAGATCATTATAAAACAATGAATAAAGGATGCAGGATTTTTAAATTTTAGCTTAAGGTTTAACTACTTATGGAAGTGTTTATTGGTAAAAATAGTAGTCRTGATCATGGTAGGTATTCCAGAATAAATCTGAATTGTCACTTAAATTTTTTTCTTCTTATTTGTCTATTTTTTAAAAAAATAGGAAAAGAGACCAAGGAAATCTCAATTGTCTTCAACAAAAACTAAAAAGGAGGTAGAAGTATGGATTGGAATGACTGTTGAGGAACTAGCCAGAGCACTGGAAAAAGACATAGGTGAGCAGATAAGTTTACAAGGAAAAATATGGGGATGTGGAAAATGTGGAATTTTACAAATGAGATTAAGGCAGTCAGGGATAAAAACTAGACTGAAGAAGATGAGTCGTTCCAATATTTTTCATTTTAGGTTACAAATTTTAGTAGTATTTTCACTCTTTGTTAAATGTAGTTCTCTATGCATTTTTTTTGTTGTTGTTGTTTTAGTGTTTTTCGTTGTATATGGACCCAATACCTTTATTTATTTTTATATGTGGTGCTGAGAATCAAACCCAGTGGCTCACTCATATGTGCTAGTCAAGTGTTCTACCACTGAGCTACAAAAGCCCTATGCTTTTGCTTTTAATAAAAGTGGGATATATTTTCTTATCTGAATTATTTTTTCCTTTTTAGCAACTTTGTGGGTTGTTAGAATAAGTCCAAAGAATGCTTTTGCACTAAGGGTTATACTTACACTTTTATTTTTCCCCTTTGTTACAATAATTTTCTTTTTTTCTTTCTTTCTTTTTTTTTTTTTTTTTGTTATTGTTGTTGTTGTGTTGTATTGGGGATCAAACCCAAGGCCTTGTGCCCAGTCCCTTCTATAATTTTCAGATTTCCTTTTTTCATTCATTTTAACAATATCTGTAAGCCCAGAGAAAAGTATTTATAGTAATCACTACAACTTTTGTTCTGCTGTGCTGGGAATTGAACCCAAGGCCTTGAACATGCTAGAATAAAGATAAAATAGTATGTTGATAATCATTTAATATAGGAGAGAAAGGATTATTGCTTAATACCAGGTACCTTCCAAAAGTGCAGGATAACTTATTGGAAAACTGTAGTAATTGGATTATTAGGTATTTTTAGCATTATTAAAAATAGTATTGCCCCCATTCATGCCTGTAATCCCAGCAACTCTGGAATCCAAGGCAGGATAGTGAGATCCTGTCTCAAAATAAGAAATAAGCTGGGTGTGGTGCTACATACCTGTAATCCCAGCAGGGCTGGGTAGCAGGTCCCAGGAGGCTGTGGTAGGAGGATCACAATTTCAAAGCCAGCCTCAGAAACTTAGCAAGGCTCTGTCTCAAAATAAAAACTAAAAAGGGTTGGGGATGTGGCTCAGGGCTAGAGCATCTTTTCAGTTCAACTCCTAGTATTGCAAAAACTAGTTTTTGAGCCCAAATTGGGACTAGCTAAATTAAAAAGAATTATTGAGCTAGTTCTTACACATAATAATTTTTAAAAATAAAATCATAAAAAGAAAATATTAAAAGCTCATAAAAGCCAAGCACAGTGGTGCATACCTGTAATCCTAGTGACTCAGGAGGCTGAGGCAGAAGTATCATAAATTCAAGGCTAGCTGGAGCAATTTAGCAAGACCCTGTTTCAAAATAAAATAAAAGGGCCTGGGTATGTAGCTAGTGTCAAAGAATTCCTGAGTTCAATCCCCAGTACTGCAAACAAAACAAAACAAAATTCAACAAAACTCTTTACTTCTTAACTACTTAAATGCTTTTTATTACCATTTTAATTGCTTTGAGGTTTTTTATTCTTATCTGTATAATAGAAATACTATATAACAGTGTGCTGTTTTGTTCTTATCTCTGAATTCATTGACTTCATGTTGGTAGCTTGAAATCAAACTTGACTGGAGTATTTCCATTACAGAAATTGGGAAATATTACAAAACAGGGATTTTTATTTTATTTTTTATTTTGTGGTTCTGGGGATTGAACCCAGGGCCTTGTGCATACAAGGCAAGGATTCTATGAACTCAGCTATATCCCCAGCCTGGGATTTTTATTTTTGAGAGCTTCATTATTAAACATTTATTAGCACACCATGAAATTGGATGTTTTTTAGTGTACTGCTCTTACTTGAAGATGTTTTTCTATCGTATCTCCTAAGTATGTTAATGGGTGACTGAAAGTCTTTAAAGATAAAAATATTTTTTTCATCATCATCACAAATACATGACTTATTATCCACAGGGAAATATGATTGAGTTTAAAACAAAGCACATTAAATAAAATGAGTAAGAGAATAAGTAAATATTTTTCCTCTATTTCAAGACTTTTTGTATTGGAGATTAAACTGAGGGGCACTTTACCTCTGAGCTACATTCCTAGTCTATTTATTTATTTATTTATTTATTCAGATAGAGTCTCACTAAGTTGCTAAGGGTCTCGCTGAGTTGCTGAGGGTGGCTTCAAACTTGTAATTTTCCTGTTTCAGCCTCCCAAGTCACTGAGATTATAGCCATGTGCCACCATGTCCGACTATTTCATGACTTTTGGGAAACCCTAAATAGATACATAAACAAGTAAATAAATCATGGGTACATATGTTCAGAGATGAGTGTGTGTCTGTATATCTGTATGTACATACAGGCAATGCTCATTTTTCATAGATTCTGTATTTACAGATTTGCCTACTTGCTAATATTTATTTATAGTTTTGCAGTTATCCTGGACGTGCTCAGTGCTGTGAAAAATTTGGGTTGCTCCATGCATATGTTCCCAGTTGAGATTGAACAAGGCGATTCTCTGCCTTCTTGTTTCACCTGTCATACTGTAAACTTTAAAAAACTGGCCCATTTAATATCATGTTTTTTTTTTTTAAACAATTTTTTTTTTAAATTGCATATTTTATTTTATTTTTTTTTATTTTTTTTTAAAGAGAGAGTGAGAGAGGAGAGAGAGAGAGAGAGAGAGAGAGAATTTTTAATATTTATTTTTTAGTTCTCGGGGGGCCACAACGTCTTTGTTGGTATGTGGTGCTGAGGATCGAACCCAGGCCGCACGCATGCCAGACGAGCGCGCTACCGCTTGAGCCACATCCCCAGCCCAATATCATGTTTCTGAATTATTGTGCTTTTTGTGGATGATATTGCTCTTTAAAATGGCCCCTTACTATTGTGATGAGGTGCTATCCAGTGTTCCTAAAACAAGAAAATTGTGATATGTATTATGTAGGAAATATATGTCTAACACAAGCTTGTTTAGGTGTCAGGTATAATGTTATTAGCTGTGAGTTCAATGTTAATTGACAATATGTATTTTTAAAGTATCTTTAGATAGAAACACATAAAACAAGATTATGTATTAATCTGTTGATGAAATGTTGCAACTGGAGGCTTGAAGGAGCCTAACCCTGCATTTCCTCTAAGAGCAGGGTGGTTCAATATTTGTTAATTCAGTATTCATGGAAGCTCTGTAGAGTATAACTATTGTAAATAACAAGAAATGACTCTGTATATACACATATGCATGACATATGAGCATACAAGTTTTCAAAGAAATAGGCTGATCAACCACACAATGCTAAATATATACAACATACAACTTAACATTTTACTGATGTTTCAGATGGTTTAGAAGGTACACAGTATTTATGAATATATAGAATTGTCAGTTAATATGAGTGTATCATTTTAAGGAATTAATTTTTTTTCAACTTTGTGATTTTTTAACATTAGAGAAAGTTTATATACTTGTATATCCCATTTATACACCCCATTGATGTACTGTTTATGTAGACTTTAGTAATAGAGGTCACTTTCTTAAGCATTTAATGCATGATCCTAAAAGGTTTTGTCTTATTCTGACCAGATTATGTATATGAAGCTTTATTGAATACTGCAATTGACATAGATTCACTAGAAGTACACTCACAGTTAGATGAAATCTGGATCAAAGAAGTAATAAAGAAGGCAGGGATGAAGTTGAAATGGAGCAAATTAAAACAGGACAAAGTCAGAGAAAATAAAGATGCTGTAAGAAGGTAAATATTACCTATATGTTGGGGGAGGGAGACCATTTAGTGGGAAGATTTGCCTTAAAACTTCTTTTGTAATTAAAATGATATGTGAGTGCAGGGTCAACTTTTTTTCAAAGTGATTAAAGCATCAGAAAGTATATTCAGGTTATTATAAAACTCTAAAGGTTATTTTTTATAGAATGTTGAATATATATATTAACCAGGATTTTAAACTTTGATTCATATCTGCCCATTGTTATGAAGATGCTAAGTATAGTCAGAAAGTCATTAAATATTCTGTTATAGTAGTTATATGTAGAGAAGAGTTGTGTCTAATTAAACTTGGGTTTTATAGTTAATGATAGCTTGCAGAGATAACAGCAAACCAATTCACAGGTTACAAAATGTTTCAGATATTTAAGCAATGAAACTCCTTTGCTGTTAATTGTAGGCCCCAAGCAGATCCAGCTTTATTAACCCCAAGGTCCCCTGTTGTTACTATAATGGGTCATGTCGATCATGGGAAAACAACGTTACTTGACAAACTTCGAAAAACTCAAGTGGCAGCAATGGAAGCTGGAGGCATCACTCAGCACATTGGTGCCTTTCTGGGTATGAACACAGATTACCTTACAATGTGCTTGGGAACCCCACTTACTATTTTTTTAATCAAATGTTATGATCAAAAAAATTGTTATTATAAAAAGGAAGCCATTGGATTAATGAAATGTACAGCAAGTGGTTAAAAGTTATTTTGTATTTTCTATAAGAAATTTATGTTACTGTTTTTTCTTGGTCATTCTTAGTTTGGCTTAATGAGCCTAAAATTTTTACTCAATTAATCAATTATGCTTATATAATCTCCTATGCTAGGTTGTGATAATGTTGCTCAGGATAATTAATAACTACTGCTTAGTGAGCACTTAACATGTGCCCAGCACTGTGCATTTTATATGCTTCATCTCTTTTATCTTCACAACAACATCATTAGGTAGGTATTAATATTCCTACTTATAGCTGAGGAGGTTGATAATCTTCAGGTTAAGTAACTTTCCCAAAGTACATAGTTAGTAAGCAGCAAAGATGAGATTTAAATTCAAGGATCCTGAGCTACTAACTGTGCCTTTCTCTGGCTCAAGGCCATTGTTCAGATGTGGTTTGCTAATGTAGGGGATGACTGACTTGTTACAACTATTGGTCTGTTCTAACTTCAGAATGGATGTCAGTTGGTACATTTATGAAAGTTACTATATTTTAGAAATATGAATTTGAAATTGTTATATGAAAAGAAAACCCTAAAGGTCTCACTAGTATTTTGTATATTTTCATTGTGAAATTTTAATCTGTGTTGTTCTGATTAAGATTAGTGGAAGGAATGCAATTATTTTAAAGAACTGTTGATTGTATTCAATAATGTCATATGTACATTCCGTATGTATGTTAAGGAAGTACATATTTGAATCTTTGGTTTTCTTGGATTTCTGTTTCCACAGTCTCTCTGCCCTCTGGGGAAAAAATAACCTTTCTTGATACTCCGGGACATGCTGCCTTCTCAGCAATGAGAGCCAGAGGTGCTCAGGTCACTGATATTGTTGTGTTGGTCGTAGCTGCAGATGATGGGGTGATGAAACAGACTATAGAATCTATTCAGCATGCTAAAGATGCTCAAGGTATTGTGTGTCTGACTTATATGTATCAGGAAGGAAGTTGCTTATTATTTATTTATTTTAAAAAATGATCTCCTCCATAAAGTTGCAGTTCTGGAGCCATTTACATGTAGCTTTAATCATCACTGCAGCCCCAGGATTGATATACTTGTTTTACAGATAAGCTTCAAAGATAGTTAAATTATTTTCCCACTGATATATAACTAAAAGGAAAGGTATCAGCAGGAGTTGACTTGGGACTTGTGATCACAAGATAATCTTACTTCCACTTAAAAAAAAATAAAAAAACCTTTTTATTATAGAGAATTTATATAGATGCAACATTAAGAATAGGATAATGAATCCTATTAACCTTTTATTCAGATTTATTAGGAGTTGCCAAGAGGTGATATTTCATTATTCCTTGTTCATTTACCTAGAATTCTTAAGAGAAACTTTCTCTTCATTTCCTTTATTTTTTTTTAATTTGTTCTTTTTAGATGTTCATGACAGTAGAGTATATTTTGACATATTAGACATACATGGATCTTCATCTGCTTTAATAATTAGTTCTTATTTAATCAAAGGAATAAAATTGTAGGCTTTGGAAAAATCATCTTGTCATTTTCTCCCTTATTTCTCTCTTTTTATTTTTTAGTTTGAGTCAGGATCTCCCTAAGTTGCTTAGAGCCTGGCTGAGTTGCTGAGGCTGGCCTTGAACTTGTGATCCTCCTGCCTCAGCCTCCCAAGTTACTGGGAATAGAGGCATTTGCTACCACACCCAGCATCTTCTCCCTTCTTTCTTCTTTTTTTAATATTTATTTATTTATTTTTAGTTGTAGCTGGACACAATATCTTTTTTTTTTTTTTTTTTAACAAACCGGTATTCCCGGTTTGTTTTGTTTTATTGCCAATCCTTTTTTTTTAATATCTTTATTTTATTTTTATGTGGTGCTGAGAATCGAACCCAGTGCCTCACGCATGCTAGGCGAGCATGCTACCACTTGAGCCACATCCCCAGCCCCTGGACACAATATCTTTATTTATTTATTTTTATGTGGTGCTGAGGATTGAACCCAGGGCCTTGAACATGCTAGGCGAGTGTTCTACCGCTGAGCCACAACCCCAGCCCACAGTGTCTTTATTTTATTTATTTATTTTTAWGTGGTGCTGAAGATCGAACCCAGGACCTTGCATGTGCTAGGCTCTACTGCTGAACCACAACCCCAGCCTCCTCATTTAAAAATTATAATAAATGGAGCATGCCTGTAATCCCAATGACTCAGAAGGCTGAGGCAGAAGGATTGCAAATTTAAGGCCAGCCTCAGCAGCATAGCAAGACCCTGTCCCAAAATAAAAAGAGGTGGAAATGTAGCTGAGGGGTAAAGTGTCCCTAGGTTCTGTCTCCAATATTGGGGAAAAATTATAATAATAAATACTGCACATATGCACACACATGTATTCTATACATTCATTCCTTTTAAATTTTGTATGTGGTGCTGAGGATCGAACCCGGGCCACACGCATGCTAGGCGAGCGCGCTACCGCTTGAGCCACATCCCCAGCCCCATTCCTTTTAAATTTTAAAAAAATATTTTTAGTTGTAGATGGATGCAATTCCTTTATTTTATTTATTTTTATGTGGTGCCGAGGTGTCAGGAATTGAACACAATGCTTCACATATGCTAGGCAAGAACTCTACCACTGAGCCACAATTCCAGCTCTATAGGTTTCTTCTTCTTTTTTTTTTTAAAAAAATATTTATTTTTTAGGTATAGGTTCACACAATACCTTTATTTTTTTATGTGGTGCTGAGGATCGAACACAGTGCCTCACGCATGATAGGCAAGCACTCTATCTCTGATCCACAACCCCAGCCCTGCATTCATTCTTATTGTACCTACCCCCAATGAGAAAACATGAAGTGTTGTATCCCCCCAGGTTTGTTGGCAAGAAATAAAAAAGGTTGAGAATTACTGATCTAGGTTGAGTCTTTCATCTTATAATGCGAAAACTGAAACCCAGACAGGAAGGAGCCAGAACTCTTCCCAATTATATACAATTACGTAGCTAATGTGCAACTTGTTTGAATTTGGGATCTGACTCTTCTAGCTTCCAGTATTATTCTCTTTCCTTCTCTTTTTGTAGTACTGAGGAGTGAACCCAGGAGTGCTCTCCCACTGAGCTACGTTTCTAGTCCTTTTTATTTATTTTATTTTATTCCAGATACTTATTTTTTATTTTGAAACAGTGTCTTGCTAAGTTTCTAAGGCTGTCCTTGAACTGACAATCCTCCTATCTCAGTCACTCAAATAGCTGGGATTACAGGCCCTCTTTTCTTTTAAATTCCTAAAAACTGTCTTTACATATTTTTTTAGTTGTCAATGGACCTTTATTTTTTATTTATTTATATGTGGTGCTGAGAATCGAACCCAGTGCCTCACACATGCTTGGCAAGCGCTCTACCACTGATCTATAACCCCAGCCCATAATAACTGTCTTTGTATGTTGATCTTAACAATTCTAGGCAATACATGGCAAAAAGAAAAGGGGTATAAATTTGCCAGGGATCCCATAATAAAGCAGTTGGTTGAGATAGAATCAATTCATCTTGTTATGCTTTTTGCATTTATTCTTTTGATCCTTGTTAAGTTCAAGTTCGCCTATATAGAATATGCACTTTTTTACAATAGTAGGTTATAGATTGAGAAACTTTTTGTGTTTTTTTTTTTTGTTTCTGTTCCTTTGACCCTGAGAAAATGGTGGAGATAGTAAAACTCAACTAGAATTATCTCCTAGATTTTTGTGTGATATCTCTAATAAAAGGATATGTTTAGTAATGATGAACAAATTATAAGATTCTTTAAATGTATGCTTATTGAATTGAGAGTCCACTATGTGTTGGTCACTAGAGTATGTATATAAATAAAGAGTTGTTCTAAATCCTAAAAGAAAATTTGCAATAATGATACTTAGATTCAGCTGAAGGTGGGATATTAGGTTTTAACAATGAATAAAGGCTTTCAACAGGGAACTGCACCCAGCAGATGAATGATTGGAAGCAGCTGGAGAACCAACAGGCTGAAGCAGTTTGATGCAGAGAATCAAAGTGCAGCACTTAATCATTGTCTCCTACAGGAAAACTGGAGAAAAATATCTCTTGAAAAGAAATAGTAGTAAAGCGTGGACTGGAATCRTATCTCAGTGATGCTTGTCTGGCATGCACGATGAGGCCCTGGGTTACATTACTAGCACTGCAAGAGAATTTTTTTTTTTTCTTGGTAGAACTGGGGGTTGAGCCCAGGGTCTCCATCACTGAGCTACATCCCCACCCCTTTGTATCTTTTATTTTGAGCCAGGGTGTCACTACTGAGTTGCCCAGGCTGGCTTTGAATTTGCAGTCCTCCTGCCTCATCTTCCCAAGTGGCTGAGATTATAAGCCGAGTGTGGTGGCACTTGCCTCTAATCCCAGTGGCTCCAGAGGCTGAGGCAGGATCATAAGTTCAAAGCCAGCAAAAATGAAGTGCTAAGCAACACAGTGAGACCCTGTCTCTAAATAAAATACAAAATAGGACTGTGGATGTGGCTAAGTGGTTGAGTGCCCCTGAGTTTAATCCCTGGTACTAAAAAGAAGAAGAAGAGGCAAGTGATCTGATGGTATTAAACTAGACTTGTGATTTTTTTTCCCCTAAAAATTATCATCTGTGTAGTTAACTGATCTCACTTTCAGATTTAACGATAGGTCTCCACTTCCTAAATATTGTTTTTAAAATTTTTTCTCATGTCAGGTGTCTGCTCTTAATTCAGAATTTACTTATAATTACAGTTTTAATATCTCACATCTGGATTCATTCTTTTATTTTTTAAGAGAGAGAGAGAGAATTTTTCTTTAATATTTATTTTTTAGTTTTCGGCGGACCCAACATCTTTGTATGTGGTGCTGAGGATCGAACCCGGGCCGCACGCATGCCAGGCGAGCGTGCTACTGCTTGAGTCACATCCCCAGCCCTGGATTCATTCTTTATGTGTAGAGAGTACAGAGTGGTGGTGTGTCTAAAGTGGATCTTTTAAGCCTTTCAATAAATAAGTACATCCACTGAGTAAAAAAAAAGCCAGAACAGGTTGGTGTCTCACTGTGAATACAGAATTAAAGATACTCTCATTTGCATTCTTCTTAATCTCCTTTAGTTCCTATTGTCCTTGCAATAAACAAATGTGACAAAGCTGAGGCTGATCCTGAAAAAGTGAAAAAAGAGTTGCTGGCTTATGATGTGGTGTGTGAAGATTATGGAGGCGATGTTCAAGCAGTGCATGTCTCTGCGCTCACGGTAAATATGGGTACCTCAGAGACAGATGTGTGTGGATGAGAGTGCATAGCTGGATGGTTGCAGAGTATGGCTTAAAGCCTAAGAGTATTCAGTGCTTTTTCTTTTCATTTATTTAATAATGCTGAGTAATGTTTGATTCACTTACTTTACAGGATTCTTGAGTGGATCAGATGAAACAATATACATTCAGGCTTATTCAATTAGATAAAACTTGAAATGTAAAGTAGCATCATTAGAAGTTAGTGAGAGGAAGAAAGCAATTGTAGAGGCAGATGGAGGAGAAAGAATGAATAAGCATGCATTTATGAAAGATTATTAGCAAGCACCACCAGTGACCAACCTATTAAACAAGAAAGTCAATTGTTCCTTGCAAGATCTGTCCCTGGGTCAGGATTTCTTTCTAATTCTTCCTTTCTTTCTTCTAAAAAATAGGTAATTCTTACTTTAAATACTTAAAGAAAAAGATCAAGGATAATTTGGTTTTCTGACCCTAGTATTTATATTTACAGATAGTATTTCTTAATGTATATTAACCTTTGTTGTTGTTGTTAAAGGGCGATAATCTGATGGCTTTGGCAGAAGCAACAACTGCTCTTGCAGAAATGTTAGAATTGAAAGCAGATCCCACTGGTCCAGTGGAAGGAACAGTAATTGAGTCTTTCACAGACAAAGGAAGAGGGTAGGACTATGCTATGATGCTTTCCTTTGATAATTTTGTTTCATGATTTTGTGATTTGATTATATGACTACATATTTTTATTGCATATTATTTTTAGTTCATGAACAATGTTTTCAAAGCATTTGTTTTGAAAAGTATTTATTGTACTAGCACACAGAACACAAAAATGCAGTTATTGTCAATAGACCATAGCAACTATCTGTATACACCTAGTCATATTTTGATGACTTAAGTAATTCAATTTTTTTTCTCCTGACTAGGCTTGACCTAAATTAAAATAAAATAGCAATTCTAAATTCTTGATGACATTACCCATTAATATAATATATAGAGGGCTGGGATTGTGGCTTAGTGGTAGAGCGCTTGCCTAGTACCGGCGGGACCCGGGTTCAATCCTCAGCACCACATAAAAATAAAGGCATTGTGTTGTGCCCATCTACACCTAAAAAATAAATGTTAAAAAATAAAAAATAATATATAGAAAGGTGTTTAAAATGGTGTTCTCTTCTTGAATTTCCCTATTAGCAAGAAAGATTTTTTCATTGTTTTGTATGCTGTACCAACTGTGAGCAATCTCTTAGCTGACATGGACAGTGGCATAAAAAGTATATTAGGATGGTGTCAAAACACTCTGCTTTCTGCTTCCTCCCTTACCATAACTTTATAAGGAAAAAAATTCATTTTAGTAAGAAATATATTATTAAATTTACTGCATTAAACTGGGTATGATGGAGCATGCCTGTAATCCTAGTGGCTCAGGAGGCTGAGGCAGGAGGATTGTGAATTCAAAACCAGCCTTAGCAAGTTAGCGAGGCCCTAAGCAACATAGTGAGACCCTGTCTCAAAATAAAATATAAAAAGGGCTGAGGTTGTGGCTCACAAGCTGAGCACCCCTCGTTTCAATTCCTGGTACAAAAAGGACTAGGAATGTAGCTAAGTAGTAAAGCACTGCGGGGTGCAATCCACTGTCCTGCCAAAAGGAAAAAACATTATAGCATATTATCCTTTTTTTTTTTTTGTAGCAGAGTTTGAACCCAGGAGTACTTTATTGTTGAGCTACATTCCCAGCTTTCAATAGTATTAAATATATTTCATTGTTGTGTAGTAGATTTCTAGAACTTCCTCATCTTGCAAAACTAAGACTGTATACCCACTAAACACTAATTTCTCTTCCCTCCTTTCTCCAGTCCTTGGCAACCATGTTTCTATTCTATTTTTATAATTTATATATTTTATAAGTGAAATCATACAGGATTTTAAAAAATATTATTATTACTATTATTTAATATTTATTTTTCTGTCCCAGGTGGACACAATATCTTTATTTATTTCTATGTCATGCTGAGGATTGAACCCAGTGCCCCACGCATGCCAGGCCAGCACGCTACCACTTGAGCCACATCCCCAGCCCAAATTATTTGTTTTAATTAGTTATATATGACAGTAGAATATATTTATGCACTTTGATATCATATGTAGATGGAATATAATTTCTCATTTTTCTGAGTGTACATGTTGCAGAATTATATTGGTCATGCAGTCACATATATACATACAGTAGTAATGTTTGTTTCATTCTACTATCTTTCCTATCCCTACATCCCCTTCCTTCCCCATCCGATCACTTCCCTCTACCTAATCTAAGGTAACGCTATTCCTCTCTAGTGCCCCCTGCCTTATTGTGAATTAACATCCACATATTTGTGATTTTATTTTTCCCTGTTATAGAGATTGAACTCAGGGGCTCATGCATACTAGACATGTGCTCTACCACTGAGCTATATCCTCAGCTCCCACTTACTTTTATTTTATTTAGCATAATGTCCCTTAGGTCCATCCATGTTGAAAAGGATGCATGATATTCTTTTGTGTGTATGTACCACATTGGACAGCTTATCCATTCTTCTGTTGATGGATGTTTGGGTTGCTTTCACTTTCTGGCTATTGGGAATATATATATATAGATAGATAGAGAGAGAGAGAGAGAGAGAGAGAGAGAGAGAGAGAGATATTGGGGATTGAACCCAGGTCCCTGTGCATGCTAGGCATATGCTCTACCACTAGGCTATATCCTTAGCCCTTTTTGTTTTGAGATAGGGTCTCTCCAAATTTCCCAGGCTGGGCTCAAACTTGTTATCTCCCTGCTTCAGACTCCCAAGTAGCTGGGATTACAGGTATAAACCATCATGCTCAGCTTCAAAAAAATGTATTTATAGTATCAAAAATCGGTAGTTGAGAAGAGAATTAATGCATAGGTTTATATATATTTAAACTGCATATAGACATTTTTGCTATAGTTAAGAAAGTATAATTGTATCTTTATTATGGCATTAAATAAATATGTGTATATATATTCATTTTAGTCCTGTTACTACAGCTATCATTCAAAGAGGAACTTTGAGAAAAGGCTCAATTCTGGTTGCTGGAAAGAGTTGGGCAAAAGTACGCTTAATGTTTGATGAAAATGGAAAAATAATCAATGAAGCCTATCCCAGCATGCCAGTGGGAATTATAGGCTGGAAGGACCTTCCTTCTGCAGGAGATGAAATTCTTGAAGTAGAATCTGAGGTATTTCAAGTTTAATTCCTACATATTAGAAATGATAGAATGATTTTATTTTTAAAAAATTTTCCTTTTTATTGGTACATTATAATTATACATAACAGTGGGACTTGTTACGTATTCATAAGTACACATAAGTGATATTAATTATTTTAAATATCAAGTTTGTACTGTTATATCAAGTGATTGATGTTAACAAATAATTCTCGTTTGTACATGGCCTTGAGGGAGTTAGTTGTGTCATTTTTAGAATTTGACTTTAGCATTTTTTTTAAATGGAAATTATTATTTTTTTAATACCTTGTTTTATTTATTTATGTTTATGTGGTGCTAAGGATTGAACCCAGGGCCTCACATGCTCTAGGCAAGCGCTCTGTCACTGAGCCACAACCCCTTTAGCATTATTTTTAAATTTTGAGATAAAATTTTAAAATTAAATTGTAATTTAATTAAATTATAATTTTATAATTTAAAATTTTTAATTATATAAGAAGCTCCCCTTATAAAAGTGGTTTCAGACTAATTAATTGCATAGTGGGGGAAAATAAAAGCCTTTCACCTAGTATATATCAGTGTCTATTTTATTAAATAATGCCAGTATTTCTCCTATAAAGGCAAGGGCACGTGAAGTTATTAACTGGAGGAAGTTTGAACAAGAACAGGAGAAAAATAAAGACGATCTGAAAATACTGGAAGAAAAACGAAAGGAACACCAAGAAGAACATCGGAAAACCCGTGAGAAGTATGGCACTTTGCACTGGAAGAAGAGATCATTTATGAAGTACCTAGAAAGAAAAGAACAAAGACCCTTAAAGCCAAAAGAGAAAATAGAAAGAGATTCAAACGTACTACCTCTAATTATTAAAGGTATCTTTTTGAAGATTTTACTTTACAACTCACCTTTTGAATACATGTATATTTTTATTCTTTGTTCTTCTCAAATTTAGTAGTCCAAACTCCTAAACTCATAAAGGAGTTTGGACTCAAAAATTTGAGTGAAAATTAATGCAGTATTTTGAGAGACATTTTTCTAAGTCAACATATTTTTTGCTAATTTAGTTGTAAGTGAACATTTGGCTCATTATACTTTATATAAATTCTTTAAAATTTTTTTCCGTTTTTAAATTTTCTTTTTGTTAATGCCTAATTCGTGACATTAACAATTTTAAACTTTTGCTGTATTTAGGTGATGTTGATGGTTCTGTTGAGGCCATTTTAAACATTATGGATACCTATGATGCTTCACATGAATGTCAACTAGATTTAGTACATTATGGAGTAGGTGATATTAGTGAAAATGATGTTAACTTGGCTGAAACATTTGATGGTAAGGTTTCTACTTTCTATTTGTCTGTGTTCCCTCAATCACATTGTGATTATTTAATTCTGTCTTGTTTGGCTTGACATACCTAATATTCTCATTATCATCACCCTTTCCACTATAGGATCAGATATCACTTCTATTAATGAAAAGGTCTTTTTCAGTTATGCTAACCAAAGTATTTGTTAGGCACTGACTAGCTGAGCACTATTTTTTCTGTGTAAGGTATACAGTGTAAGAATTTTTTTTTAATTCTTTTTTTTTAAAGAGAGAGAGAGAGAGAGAGAGAGAGAGAGAGAGAGAGAGAGAATTTTAATATTTATTTAGTTTTTTTTTTTAGTTTTCGGCGGACACGACATTTGTTTGTATGTGGTGCTGAGGATCGAACCCGGGCCACCTGCATGCCAGGCGAGTGCGCTACCTCTTGAGCCACATCCCCAGCCCAAGAATTTTTTTTTTTAGCCTTTATTTATTTTTATGTGGTGCTGAGGATTGAACCCAGTGCCTCACACATGCCAGGCATGCACTTTACCACTGAGCTACAATCCCAGCCCACAGATTTCTTAATGTTAAAACTTTCAGGGTGATTGGGTTTTTTCTTTTAAGCTTTTTTTTTTTTCTCATTCATCCTATTCAAGGTGTTTTTCCTTGCTTCTTTTCTTTTCGTATCAGGGATTAAACTAGGCGTGCCAAACCACTGAGCCACATCCCTGGCTCTTTTTTATTTTTTGAGGCAGGGTCGGATCTTGCTAAGTTGCTTAGGGTTTTGCTAAGTTGCTGAGGCTGGCCTCAAAGTTGCAGTCCCCCTGCCATACCCTCCTGAGTTGCTTGGATTATAGGTGTGTGCCACCTTTGTTTCTTTTTCTTCCAAAGTATTTGCAGTTAAATATTATTATTCTTTGGTAAAATGGTCAATTCTTGAATTTTTCCAATTAAGTAACTATTTTTGAACAACTTTTGGCCAAATGGATACCTAATTATAAACTACAAAACTTTTAGACAATAGTATTACAATTGTATGGACACCTTTATTTTATTTATTTATTTTTATGTGGTACTGAGAATTGAACCCACTGCCTATACATGTAAGGCAAGTGCTCCACCACTGAGCTACAACCCCAACCCAGCATTACAATTTAATAGTGGAATTATCGTTAAAATAAAACAATAATTTAGCCTTGATCATTTTTTGTTTTATTTCTCTGGTATAAAACCAAAGCTTTGTTTAGCATACTGCCTTGCACATTATAGACACTTAAGAAAATATATTTCTTAAATTAATAATTTAATATCATGAAGAAATTTTCCTGACTAAACAATTTATAAAATTCAGTGATTTGAAAATTTACTAGTTTTTGTGGGATAAAAACCCCACAATTTTTCATTTCCCCAATTGCTATTGCCATTTAACTTATTTAAAATAAAATTTGAGTTCTGCTTGAAAGACAAATGATAATACTTGTGTTACTTTATTATTTCTCTTTTCCAGGTGTTATATTTGGTTTTAATGTGAATGTAAGCAATGTTATCCAGCAGTCAGCTGCAAAAAAGGGAGTAAAAATTAAACTTCACAAAATCATTTACCGTCTTATTGAAGATTTGCAGGAGGAACTGAGCAGCAGAATGCCCTGTACTGTAGAGGAACACCTAATAGGTGAGTGTTCACTGAATGTTTCTTTTATTTTATTGTGGAACTGGGGTTTGAATCCAGAGGCACTTTACCACTGAGTTATATCCCTGGCCCTTTTTATTTTTTATTTTGAGACGGTGTCTCCTAAGTTGCTTAGGGCTTCTCTAAATTATTAAGGCTAGCCTTGAACTAGTGAGCCTCCTGACTCAGCTTCCCTGGTCACTGGGAGTACAGGTATACGCCACCATGCCTGGCCTGAATGCTATTTTTTTATTTTTTAGTTGTCAGTGGATCTTTATTTTATTTGTTTATACGTGGTGCTAGGAATTGAACCCAGTGCCTTACACATGCTAAGCAAGCGCTCTACCACTGAGCCACAATGCCAGCCCCCTGAATGTTATTTTTAAGCATTCATATCTTAGGTGTTGTAAACAGCCCCTGAAAGCAAAATTGAAGAGAAATATATTCACTTTTCCAATAAATATCTATTGTTTTAGAAAAACTGATGACCATAAGATGAAAATTCCTGGTAACCTCMTATGCATTATGTGTCCTGTAAGACACATTGTGCTTCATTTAAGCCCCGAAAATACAAAGGCAAATAAGGCATTAAGAACTTGCCCTCAAATGTAGACATGAACAATTAATGATAGTACAAATTTGACTAGGATCAGCAACATAAATATTAACACTGTCACTGGGTACAGTGGCACATGCCTGTCACCCCATGGGTTTGGGGGCTGAGTCAAGAGGATCACAAGTTCAAGACTAGCCTCAGCAATTTAGCAAGACTGTCTCAAAATTTTTAAAAAGTCTGGGAATGTAGCTCAGTGGTTAAACACTCCTGGATTCAATCCCTGGTTTTATACACACACACACACACACACACACATAAATATATACATATATATACACACACATACATACATATATACATATATACATACATATATACATATGGTACCATATATACATACACACACATATATACATACACACATACACACACACACATACTCACATACACACACATATATAAAATTAACAATGTTTTGGAAGGTGCCACTGGGACTCGCAAAGAAATTATACCATAAGAAAACTTACTTTATATTTAAATGTTAAATATTGTTAAGTATTGTCTAGCATATCCTTTAGYCAGATTTAAAGACTGAATTTGTATTGTTCCCACTTGCCTCTAAATATGTACATTTGCTAAATAAGTACAAGGATATTCTTATAAAACTAACAATGATCAAACAATATTCTCTAATTCAGCCCAAATTCAAATTTTGTCTATTGTCCTCACAGTGTACTTTTTTTTTTTTTTTTTTTTTTTGGTGTTGGGGATTGAACCCAGGGCCTTGTGCACGCAAGGCAAGCACTCTACCAACTGGTCTATATCCCCAGGCCCCCCCTCTCAGTGTACTTTGTAATGCATGTGCTTTCCCTCTAGTCCAGGATCTTGGGTTGTTATTTTCATTGTCCTATTTCTCTTCTTTCTTTTTTTCTTAATATTTTTAAGTTGTAGATGGACACAATACCTTTATTTTATTTTTATGTGATGCTGAGGATGGAACCCAGTGCCTCATACGTGCAAGGTGTGCGCTCTACTACTGAGCCACAACCCCAGCCCCTCCCTATTTCTTTTTAGGCTCATTTAATCTGAAATAATTCTTCAATCTTTCTTGACCTTGACCTTTTTAAAGTGTATGTAAGCAACTGTAGAACATACCTTAATTTTTAATGTCTAATGATTCCTCGTGATGAGATTGGATTTTACATTTTGGTTCATACAAAGTTAGTTTATGCCTTTCTGACCTGCTAAATATGATCATGCAGATATTTGTATGTTCTTGTACTAGTAGCAATTTGGAAAAATAGTCATATTATGAGGGTTTTTACTAGTCAAATCCCACTAGTCAAGTAACACCCTAAAAAACTGGTAATTATAGTAAGTTATTTTATTATTGGAACTTAATTTTCATTGAGAGGAGAAATATTTACAGAATTAGTATTTATAAGTGGATCTGAAAACATTGAAGTGACTTAAAAATAGATCAGGTAATGATAGGTGATCTACTCTAGAAAATAGGTTTTCATAGAGTAGTGGCAATACTCAAGGATTTTCATGTTTATTTTTTGCAGTACAGAGTCTCTCATGCTAGGCCAGTGCTTTCCACCAAGCTACATCCCYAGCCCTTTTTTTTTAAATGTAATTTTTTAAAATTTATATATGACAACAGAATGCTTTATAGTTCTTATTACATATATAGAGCATAATTTTTCATATCTCTGGTTTTATACATAGTATATTCACACCAAATCATGTCTTCATACATGTACTTTGGATACTAGCCCTTTTTGAGATGAGTTTCACTAAATTGCCCAGTCTAGTCTTGAACTTGGATACCCTACCTCCTACCTCAGTGCCCCAAGTTCATCTGTTATTTCTAATTATTGGACAGGGAAGTAAAGTTGGTGGAAATAAACCAGGATTTCTTTCTATGCACAAGTTCATTTTTTAAATTAATTTTTTATTTATACATGACAATGGAATGCATTACCATTCTTATTACACATATAGAGCAGTTTTTCCTATCTCTGGTTGTATATAAAGTATATTCACACCAATTCATGTCTCTATACATGTACTTTGGATAATAATGTCCATCACATTCCACCATCATTTCTAACCCCATGCCCCCTCCTTTCCCCTCCCACCCCGCCCTATCTAGAGTTTGTCTATTCCTCCCACGCTCCCCCTCCCTACCCCACTATGAATCAGCCTCCTTATATCAGAGAAAACATTTGGCATTTGTTTTTTTGGGATTGGCTAACTTCACTTTGCATTATCTTCTCTAACTCCATCCATTTACCTGCAAATGCCATTATTTTATTTTCTTTTATTGCTGAGTAATATTCCATTGTGTATATATGCCACATTTTTAATCCATTCATCTATTGAAGGGCATCTAGGTTGGTTCCACAGTTTATCTATTGTGAATTGTGCTGCTATAAACATTGATGTGGCTGTGTCCCTGTAGTGTGCTGTTAAATCCTTTGCATATAGACCAAGGAGAGGGATAGTTTGGTCAAATGGTGCTTCCATTCCCAATTTTCCAAGAAATCTCCATGGTGCTTTCCATATTGGCTGCACCAATTTGCAGAGTCTCTCTCCCCACCAGCAATGTATGAGTGTACCTTTTTCCCCACATCCTCACCAACAGTTATTGTTGTTTGTATGCATAATAGCTGCCATTCTGAGTGGAGTGAAGTGAATGAAATCTTAAAGTAGTTTTGATTCACATTTCTCCAATTGGTAATGATGATGGACATTTTTTCATGTATCTGTTGATTGATTATACATCATCTTCTAAGAAGTGTCTGTTCAGGTCCTTGGCCCATTTATTGATTGGGTTATTTGCTTTTTTTGTTTGTGCTTAACTTTTTGAGAGTTTAGTGCTCTACCTGATGTGTGAGGGGTAAAGATTTGCTCCCAAGATGTAGGCTCTTTCTTCACCTCACAGATTGTTTCTTTTGCTAAGAAACTTTGAGTACATCCCATTTATTGATTCTTGATTTTAATTCTTGCACCAAAGGAGTCTTATTCAGGAAATTGGGGCCTAATCCCACATGATTAGGGCCTACTTTTCCTTCTGTTAAACACAGGGTCTGTGGTTTTATCCCTAGGTCCCTTTTTTTTTTTTTGGTGGTTGTTGTTGCTATTTCCTATTTTAATAACATACATTAAAATTCACTAGTAAATATTTCCTTTTGGTGGTCTACCTTGTTGCATTTCAAAACTTTCTCTTACACCACTGATATTGGAATCACTAGAGAGCTTGCTACATATTCAGAAAACCCAGTTCCATCCCAGAACTAATGAATAAGATTCTGCATTTTAGTAAATCTGACTCATGGTAATATAGTTAAAATTTGAGAATTCTTTAATTTTTAAAAATTTATATTATCATGGAATACATTACAATTCTTATTACACATATAGAACACAATCTTTTTTTAATACTGTAGAATAGGAGGTATTATTTTTCAGATCATTAACATCATTTTCTTCCTAAAGGTGAGGCTTCTATACTAGCTACCTTCTCTGTAACAGAAGGAAAGAAGAAAATTCCTGTGGCTGGCTGCAGAGTTCAAAAAGGACAGTTAGAAAAACAAAAAAAATTTAAATTAATCCGCAAGGGACAGGTTATTTGGAAAGGTAAGCAACATCAAAATGTTTTCTACGGTTTATCCAGGCCCCAAACCTACTGATTGCATAACCATCTAAAATCCATTGATCTTTTCCCACCATAATGCATTCTTAACTTCTCCATAGCAATGAGTTCCCTTCCTATTAATTTTTACAATTCCTCTAGATTGTTAGTTCCTCAGACTTGATTTTAACTACTTTTGTTTTTGGAGACTTGAGTCTGAGCCTATTTTTCAGGCTGGCCTTGAACTTGAGAAACTGTCACCTCAGCCACCCAAGTAGCTGGGATTATAGGCATATAGTTTTGCATGCAGCAATTTCCCAAGCTTTTAAAAACTGGCTTCACTTTTATCCTACACTTACACATTCCACTCCTCTATTCCCATCTTTCCGAACTTGACCTACTGTCTACAGTGTTTATCAGTCCTGAGTATAATCCCATCCTTTGCGGTCTTTAAGTGGGAGATTTCTGGGCTTTCCTGGCATAAAATCCCATTTAATGACAGGACTGTATTTAACACCAAACTACACAGCATTTAGCACTTGAGGCTGGTCTCAAAATTAAAATCATTCTCCTTGGCCTTACAAACTGCTGGGATTATGGGTGTGCACCTCATGCCTGCCTTAGTACTTTGTTAAATATACTCACCTTAAATTTCCTTTTTAAGGCTCATTGACCTCATTGAAACACCATAAAGATGACATCTCAGTCATCAAAACTGGAATGGATTGTGGTCTCAGTTTAGATGAAGAAAAAGTGGAATTCCAAGTGGGAGATGAAATTGTTTGTTACGAAGAAAAGGAAGTTTCAGCAAAGAGTTCTTGGGACCCAGGATTTTAAAACTATATTAAAAATGTCAATGATGAAATGCCTTTGCTTTATTTTACATCAACTGGTTTTGTTTTACAGAAGTTAAAGCTTTACCATTAAATAGTCAAAAAGTACTTGTTATTCTACACCATGTGTATTAGAGCACATCAGATTGGAACAGAAATAATAAACCATTCAAGGATATCTCCAATGAGAAATTCTCAAGTGGGAATGTAACATGCAAAAAAAGGGAGTTGGTAGCATTACCACTGAATGTAATAGTTAAGAGTGGCACCAACAAACCAATCCTCCCTGAATTGAGCTGGATGGGTAAAATATGACACCAACATGTACTACTTGAAGTATTTTTTTCTTTTGCCGTGAATATTAAATATTTTATAAGGATCCATCCTGAATAATTTCTAAGAGCTTATGCATAACATTAACTAGCGGTGTGTTCCCTTGTATTGCAAAGGGCAGATATCCTACCAACATGTGATGCATCTTTGAATTGAAAACTGGCTTATATTTAGACAGCTGATAATGTAACTCCTGCGAAAGTATGAAATTACTAKGTAGTGAAAATATCAAGTAGTTGACCCAGAACCACTAGGTCAAATAATGTATCAACATTCACATGAAGAGGCATATCAAAGGATGATGAGACCATCAATTTGATGCTCAAATCAAAAAGTATTCTTTAAATCTGCAAAGAAATTCAACAATTAAATATTAGTTCATGTCTTTTATTATCTCAAATACATCACTTGTCTTCTGGTTTGTTGAAGCAGTAAGTCAGACAACACTTGCCACAATAGTGTCTGTCAAAGTGGCTGGCCATAAAAACTCCTGCACCACATTCATCTGAAGGACACTCACGTCGAAGGCGGCTAATTTTGCCATTTTCATCCACCTGAAAAACACAAACTTGCTGTAAGATAATCTTAGAAAACATTTTGGTATTAGATTTCAATGACTCAAAAGAATTTAAACTTTCTGGGCTGGGATTGTGGCTCAGTGGCAGAGCACTAACCTCACACACATGAGGCGCTGGGTTTGATCCTCAGCACCACATAAAAAATAAAGGTATTGTGTCCATCTACAACTAAAAAAATTTTTTTAAAAGTATTTAACTTTTTAACTCCACAATACTGATGGCTTTTGTGCTTACAAGCTTAAGTAGTAGTATTACCAATACTACTATAATAAAAGTCATAGGACATCTGTACATTAAAATACAGCTTTGCTTACTGGTAGATGAAGCTAAGTTCTGAATCCAGATCTTACCTCAAATTCAGAACCCCATGGAATAAACAACTAGGGCAGAACTCCACTATATAAGCACAATCAACTACCAAGCAGAAGATTTCAAAAATTGAGCTTTTCATTTTCAGAATACCTTGTTTAAACCAAATGTAGGCTCATTTAGATATAAATATATTTAATTCCAATTATTTCATAAGAAAAATGCCAACAAGTTACTGTGAAGACAGTTTACAAATAAACAAGTTTTCTGACATTCTACTCCACATAAAACTGGCTCACCTTATAATATTTCAGGACAGCCAACTTAACCTTCTTTCTCTTATGCTTATTCTTCTTGGGAGTGGTGTAAGACTTCTTCTTCCTTTTCTTAGCACCACCACGAAGCCTCAGCACAAGATGAAGGGTGGACTCCTGTAAACACAGGATGAAACATTTTTATGCTACATTAAGGACAATATCAGGCATCTGCTAATTAATGTGAGAAATGGTAATAGTGCTTCTCAAATATTACTGTAGGAATCACCTGAGAATCTACTGCCAAACTACTGCTATTTTATTTGTATGTGCCCAAATTTCTAATGTAAGACTTATTTTTAAGGGGCCCCTCTTTTCCAGAAACAAACCTTCTGAATGTTGTAGTCAGACAAAGTACGTCCATCTTCCAGTTGCTTACCAGCAAAGATCAGTCTTTGCTGATCAGGAGGAATTCCTAATGCAGAAAACAAAACCCCTCAGTTTAGTTAGCAGAAAAAAGGTATACATGCTCCAGATTTGCAAAATAATCCAGACTCCAATATTTGCCATTAATTCTGTCATTAAGTCCTTACAGAGCTACACACAATTCTGAAGGTTTACATGTTAGCAAATTTAACCTGTCAATACAAGAATCATTTTATATATCAGAACACAATTAACGCTGGGCACAGGTGGCCCATGCCTGTAATCCCAGCGGCTCAGAAGACTGAAGCAGGAGGATCACATATTCAAGGCCAGCCTGAGTAACTTAGCAAGAATATGAGCAACTTAGTGAGACCCATCTCAAGAAACCAACCTCATTGAAATTCACACATACAAAATGTTCTACAGAGCTTCCAATCTAAGTAGCCCCAGTCCATGCTCATTAATACTTGTTATTTAATTCCATCAGTATTTTGTCAATCAGACCTTTTACCCCCAAGAACAGATACATTAAAGGCTTAACAGGTAGGCCGTGTCTGTACAAGTTAATTTTCGTGAACTTCAAAATATTACTTGCCTTCCTTATCCTGGATCTTGGCTTTTACATTTTCTATAGTGTCCGAGGGTTCAACCTATGAGTTTTAAAATCCAAGTATATTGGTTACACTAGAACGAACATTGACTTAATTCAATCGACAGTTTCCAAAGAACAGAACTCGATAAAGCTGACCCGGTGGGCAATCTCCAATGGACGCTACAGATGAGCTCCCTAGCCCAGGGTGGCCGGCGGATGCTGGGCCACAACGCGCCCGCCTAGCGACAAGCGTCTCCTTCCTCACCTCAGGCTGGCCAGAGCCACGCGAGCGGTGAGAGGCGCGGCCTTGCTCCGCAAACCACCCTCAATTCAGGGAGAGGTTTCAGAACTCAAATTCGGAGGTATGTCCTAAGGGTTGGAAAGCAGCGCGGGGCCCCCAATTACACCTCACCACCTTATTCAGGCCTCGGTTTCCTCACACCACCTGGCCCGTACCTCGAGTGTAATAGTCTTCCCCGTAAGGGTTTTTACGAAAATCTGCATCTCGGCGGCGGTCTCACCTGAAGCCGAGAAAAAGGGAGACAAGGGTTAGACCTGGGGATACGGGTTTAGGCGTTTCATAAGCCGCCGACTGGAGGCCGAAGCAGAGCACACACTCACCGCAGATGGCGGATCGGAAAGGAAGAGCGCGGCTCTGGCCCCGGGGTTTCCTGGCCGAAGGTCCCACCCCTTAGGCGACCACAGCAGATGCCTGGCCACTGTCACAGCAGCTGTCTAACCCAGTGCCAGAATGGGTCGCGAGACTTCTTTCCTTCTTTCTCTAAGTCTGAGCTTATTTCTCATGTTAGCTTTCAGAATGTTATTAAAATGCTAGATTTTAATAACTTAAAAAGATGTTTTAAGAAGACTTTTCGCAGGCCATCGAGGTGGCTAAGAGGGTCTTTCAAAGTGGCTAATAAGATTGGAGAAAACGGAAGTAATGGAAGTGTATTCTGGGAATTGTAGTTTTCCACTGCTTTCCTCTGGTCAGAACTACTTGTCCCAAGATGCAGTTCCACACCCCAGGCTCCCTAGTTACAGTCACTAAGCACTCATTGGAGTGGGGTTAGGAGAAAGGGATTCAGGTAAGGAACCGAGAGGAGGTGAAGCGGAGTAATGGTTTTGGGAGGGTGGGACTGTGCCGAAAGTAACTAGACTGAAAGGCTTAAGAGGCGGGAAAGGGGTGTGAGCATGAAAGCATCCTTCTTGCTCTTACTGAGTCGCAGAGGGAGGGAGGGAGAATTAGGCGTCGTCTTTCAGACCTCCAGGGAAAGGGAAAGGGGCAAATCGGAATGCAGATGAAATCTTCAAAAATGAGGCATCAGCCGTTCTGTAGCCTACTTTCTACCCCCAAGTCTCCTCACTGGAGGAAGGTTCTGGGCCGGTTATGTCACTCTTCGGTGTGAAAGGATTTAATATGTCGAAAGTTTCTGGAGTTTTATAAATGTAAGAATGGAGTCTTATTCGAAAGAAACGTTCAAATGGTTAGTTGTAGAATTTAGAAGTTTGGACTTGGAGAGCATTGGCGAAGGTCCTGATAGGAAAATTTTGGAGTGTGTACAGCAAGTTAGGCTTTTTCTCTACAAACCACAGAATCTTTTCTAATAAATATTCATATTAATTCTCTCTCTCTCTTTTTTTTTTTTACATACATGTATGGTTGTAAATAGACACAATACCTGAAAGAACAATCAAGGCTTGCCGTTGGAGAAAAAATGCTTTATTGAGGCAGCTCTGCATATTTATAGAGCTAGGGATGAAACAGTTTAACAATTTAAAGGTTTTATTGGCAGCTGGCTTGGGGTGCATTCTAATTGGTGGGTAAGGATCAGGTGAGCCAGCAGGGCTCACCATCGGAGGGCAGGATCACATAAGCCAGCAGGGCTCACCATTGGATGGCAGGATCATGTGAGCCAGCAGGGCTCACCATTGGATGGCTCTTCTTGGGGGATGGGGAAGTTAGTCTTTGGAGCCTGGAGACTCCCAATAATACCTTTCTTTTTTTCTTTCTTTATGTGATGCTGATTGAACCCAGGGTTGCTTTACCACTGAGCTACATCCCCAGCCCTTTTTAAAATTTTTTTATTGTGAATCAGGGTTTAAGTTTCCTAGGCTGGCCTGGAACTTTGGATTCTTTTTTTTTTTTTTTTTTTTTAAAGAGAGAGTGAGAGAGGAGAGAGAGAATTTTTAATATTTATTTTTTAGTTCTCGGCGGACACAACATCTTTGTTGGTATGTGGTGCTGAGGATCGAACCCGGGCCGCATGCACGCTAGGCGAGCGCGCTACCACTTGAGCCACATCCCCAGCCCCGAACTTTGGATTCTTTTGCCTCAACTGAGACTAACAGGGGCATGACATTGTGTCCAGCTTTAAGAATTTTTTTCAGGGGCTGGGGATGTGGCTCAAGCGGTAGCGCGCTGGCCTGGCATGCATGCGGCTCAGGGTTGGATCCTCAGCGCCACATACAAACAAGGATGTTGTCTCCGTGGAAAACTAAAAATAAATAAATAAATAAATATTAAAAATTCTCTCTCTAAAAAAAAAAAAAAAAGAAAGAAATTTTTTCAGAGTCCCTACTTAGGGTCTTGTCCCTAGTGTTGGACATAAACTCTACCACTGAGCTACACCCCCAGGCTTTTTTAGTCTGTGTCACTAAGTTCTGAGAGTGGCATCTTCCTTCCTCTTTATGTCTTATCTCTTTATCTCTCCGTCCCAAATTTGTACTTCCTTTATTTTCTCCTACAAGAGTTCCTTACCAAACTGGTTACTTATCTCCACTCTTTTCCCCTTTCTAACCCACATCTGTACCTCAAAAATATTCATTCTAGAAAGTAAAAATGATTGTCATTGCTTTACTTCAAATGGGTCACCTTCTCTATAAAATCCAAATTCATGAGTATGGTATCAGCCTCTGCCTTTTTTTACAATCTTATCTGCTAAACCCATCGCTCACTTCACATTTTAGTTACATTGAATTGATTGTAGTTACTGACTTATGCTGTCTAATGGCTTTGGCACTTGTGAAGAACTCATTCTTTTCTTCTTCCTGGAATATTCCTCATCTATAGTTTACCAACTAGTCTCCACTTTTACAACAGACCTCTCAAAGACTTGTTTATACTCATTATCTTCAGTTTTTCTCTTCATTGAGCCTTCTCTTCATTGTTGCTTCTGTCAGGCTTTTGCCCCACCATTCTGGTGGAGTAGCTCTTGTAATAGGCACTTATGTATTCCATGTTGCTAAGCTAGTCATTTCATCTTCTTTGATGTAAGCAACATTTGACACAGTTGATCACGTCCTCTATCTTTAAAACATTTTCTTCACCTGACTTCAGGGTATCTCAACACTTTTACTGTACTAAAAACTCTTTTCCAGGGTCTTATTTTTAACCCATGAGACCTCTTTTAATCCATGAGACCTCTAGACTTAGAGCACCCCAGTCTATAAATCTCTCCTTTATTTATATTTCCCAAGTTATCTCATTCTAATAACTTTTGAATACCATTTATATGCAGAAGATTCATAAACTGTCACTCAGACCATTTCCCAGAACTTCTGATTCACATATCTAGATGTGTATTCAGCCTCTGTAAAATACAAGTCACAGACTCCTGATCTCAGGAAATTGCACTTCCCATTTCTATATATGGCAGTTCTCATTTTCCCATTTGCTAAGGCCAGAAATTGTATGGTCATCCCTGACTGCTCTTTTATACCCCACATTTAATCTGTAAGGAAATCTTGGCTTTGTTTTCAGTATATGTACAGAACACTTCTAAAAATACTTCTAGCTTTGACTCTTTTGTCCCAATTATCTATTCTTCACAGAGCAGCCCCAGCAATTTAAATGAAAGTCAGCTGTCATTTTTAATTTAAAATGTAAATCAGCTGCCATTCTTTTGTTTTCTATCTCACTCAGAGCAAAGTCTAAATTCCTATAAGTGAGACTGTTGCTCCAGCACAGRAACAAGTGAAGGCCACAATCCAGCTCAGTACTCCTCTTGCCAAAACTGCCCAGAGAAAGGGGCACCAAATCAACTGGTAGTAGTCCTGTCTTCATGGCCCTGTATCCTGCAAGATGTGACAGCTACCTCAGACCTTAACTCTTCTCTCCCTTTCTCTCTTCAATTCCCACAGGCCTTCTTATTCCTTAAATATACTGTCCCACCTTGAGACCTTTGGATTTACTATTCTGTGCCTCAACCACGTCTAGGAATCTGCATGACACGTTTTCTGAAATGTCACCTAGTCAGTGAAGGTTTTCCTCTTTCTTGACCTTGTCTTACATAAAATAGAATCCTCCCAGCTTCTGTACTCTATCCCCCATACTGTCTTATTTCTCTTCATTCAATTTGCCGCATCTGTCATATATTTTCAYTTATATGTTGTCTGTCTCTACTTGAATGTAATTTTTGAGAGGTTAGGGATTTTGTTTTAGTCAGTTTGGTATCTCCAGTGCCTAGAATAGTGACAGATACACGTAGATGCCCTCAATATTTATTGAAGAAGTAAGTATAGCACAACTTAAGCATTACCCTATATCGTTCCACTGGATGTTCTCTACTTAATGTTCTCTCCTCTCTCACAGGTTAGTGAAATGCTCTGTGGGCATCTGTAGTCCAGTGTACTCTGCTCATTGCTTCACACTGCCTTCTCTGCTCTGTAGCAGTGGCTCATTTACTAGACCCAACAGACTTGATTGGGAATCCAGGTGACTTGTTTTTAATGTATCCCTAAGTGAATGAACCTGGAGATATAGCTAAGTTAGTATGAATTAATAAGTGAATGGCAATCTTAGTTGATATATGTAATTCAGTGACATTTTGAATATGCTAAGGAATAAATAATTTAACTGTTTCCTGGTTTGAGGCCACCATAAGTCCGTTGTCTTCTGAGACAAGATTTTGTTTGCTGATTCAGCAAATATTTGTTGAATACCCACTCTGCGAGGGACTACTATGTACTGGAGTGCACATGGGTGGAGGAGGGGTGATGGGGATGAGAACATTTTGGTTCCAGATCTTGTCAAATTTACGTCCTAACGGGAGAGGCAGAGAATATAAACAGAAACTCTATAAAACAGTGTAATAATTCTGTGACAAGGGAAGTGCATAGTACTATAGGAAAACAATGTCAATGGCACTGACCAAGTCTGAGGGAATTCGGGGCAGCTTTCCTGAAACCATATAGGCTGAGATCTGGAGAACTAGTGATGCAGTGTGTGTGTGTGTGTGTGTGTGTGTGTGAGAAGAGAGAGAGAGAGAGAGAGAGAGAGAGAGAGAATTTTTTTGGGGAAAGGGGAAGATGAGTATGAGATGAGAGTTGCAGGAAGGGAGAAATATACAAGATCCTAAGGTAAAAGGGCAAATTCATAGGGGTGAGGATAGAATGGGATGGGGAGAAGGACAAGAACATGAAAAGGGTAGATTTTATCAGAGARAAAAAGAGTCATTGGTTCCTAAAGGGCATTAATAGGTCAAGTAAAGGAATTTGAATTTTATCCTAAAGGTTATAGGGAGCCACTGGTATTCTGATTTGACCATCTGTTCCCTGGTGATTAAATCCATTCCTTCTTCCTTTGATTTTTATCTTTTACTACTTAAAATTATATTGTTGGGGCTGGGGATATAGCTCAGTTGGTAGAGTGCTTACCTTTCATGCACAAGGCCCTGGGTTCAATCCCCAGCACCCCCCACACACACATAAAAATCAAACAAACAAACAAAAAAACATTGTTTTTAGTGTGTCTCCCCTACTACATCTTAAGCTCCAAGGAGCCAGTGGCGTTATCTTATTTATTGCTGAATTTCTCGCTGTGAAATATTATTTGGTGCTTAGTAGACAATAAATACTGGCTCAAGGAATGAATAAAAATTCACTGATTTTTTTTCATTTAAGAAAACTGTTTATCCATTTATGGGTTATTACGTTGTTGTAGTTTAAATTGACTTTTTGTTATCTAGTTCATCAGTATAAGATTAATTTGGTCTCTTAAACTTCAAAATTATTTTGGTTGTCTCTCCTTTTTTTATGACCTATAGTTATATAGGTTTTATAGTTATATAGTTTCTATAGTTATATAGAAAATAATATATATGTTATTTCAGATAACCAGATGTCAATTTGATTGCCAAAACATCATAAAATTGGTTTAGACATTTATTCATTATAGCATTATTTATAATAGTGAAATTATCCAAAATTAGGGGGATGGTTAAACAAATTATAAAATATCATACTATGAAATACTTTGCAATCTTTAGAACTTATGTGTTGAAAACAACAAAATAGAAAGTGCTTTTAATATTAAGTGAAAAGGGCTGTGGTTGAGGCTCAGTGGTAGAGCGTTTGCCAAGCATGTGTGAGACRTTGGGTTCAAGCCTCAGCACCACATATAAATAAATAAAATAAAGATGTTGTGTCCATCTACAAGTAAAAGAATTWAAAAAAATTAAGTGAAAAAATTAGAATACACAACTGAATATAGAATTTGAACCCAATGCTTATAAAGATTGGTAGGAAATATAATGATTATCTTTGGGTAATAGGATTCTGGATGATTTTTGTTTTCTTCAATAGTTTTCTTTGGTTTATATTTTCAGATTTTATTCCATGGATATATATTTCTGTAATTGGRAGAAAAATTAAAATGTTTTTCCTTGCCAGACAAAGCCAACCAAGTGTTCTGTCTGATGTTTAATACAATGACAGTATGCTTTTTTTGTTTGCTTTGGTGCTGGGGGTTGAACCCAGGGCCCTGCACATGCTAAACACAAATTCATGAATTTTACCACTGAGCTAYAACCCCAGCCTACTCAATGGGTTAATGTGAGTGAATTTTAGGAATCACCTTCTGTATCCAATTTCAGTTGAATAATGATTCTTTGCCAAAAGCATTGTAAAAAGCTGTTTGAAAACTGTACTCCCCAAAGTACTGTTATCTTTGACATTATTGATGGATAGATTTTTTTTTTTTCCAGTGCTGAAGATCAAACCCACATGTGAGACAAGGGTTCTGCTGCTGAGCCCTATCCCCAGCCTTGTTGGATGGATTTTWACAGAAGTCCTGCCTCTTACTTTTCAGTTAGCACCTTTGTATCAAGGATGCGAATCACTATAAAATCTATTATAAAAATTAATTTTTCATAGGTACTGTATACTGGACAACTGTGACTGGGCCAGGTAAGCACTTGGGTAGGGGAGTACTGACCTTTTTTAAATTTTTTTTAGTTGTAGATGGACACAATATCTTTATTTATTTTATGTTGTGCTGAGGATCGAACCCAGAGCCTCACATGCTCTACCACTGAGCTACAACCCCAGCCCTATCTGACCTTATTTGTGTCATCAAGAGACTTACTAACTCGTTYTACCACATGAAACAAGTAAAATATTAAACCTTCGTTTGAGTTTTCTAGCTGCCTGAAGTATCCTTATAATTATTAAAGTGTGATCTAAAAATAAATTGAGAGCTGGAGTATAGCTCAGTGGTAGAACACTTGTCTAGMCTGTGCAAGGCTCTGAGTTTGAAACCCAGCACTGAAAAAATAAAAAATAAAAAGAAAGTGTTGCGTTAAACCATCTATTATATGATACATATGAGGAGTTGTGCTTGGTTAATAAAGGAAGAGCTCCTAATTAACTAGTATTTGGTATTTCTATCCCAGAGATATCTACATGGCCTAGAATAGCATAGATCTTTTTTTTTTTCTTTTTTTCTTTTGTGCTGGTGCTTAAATCCAGGGCCTTGCACATGCTAGCAAGCACTCTACTACTGAATTATACCCTACTCTGTAGCATAGACCTTTTAATTTGTAGATTGAAATATTTTTCTTAAAAACAGATCAATGGGAATTTTTCTCAAATAAATATATGATTTTTTAGATTAATATTCAATTTATAATTTTTAAGCCTTTAGATTAATTGATGGTCTTTTTTCTTTCAGGATTATCAAAGTTTTGGCTTTGTTACAAAAGCAGTTCAAGATTTCACTTTTCTTTGGTGACTAAGTGGGCAGATTGTGACTTATGTCCATCCAAGAAATACATAAACATGCAGTTCTTCCTCCTATCATTAGTAGATGTGACAAGGAATTTTTGGAAAGTACGAAAAGATACATAATTACAGAAATTGAAAGAGTGGGCTGTAATGAGGAAGGACCTGCTGATGAATATTACATCATATACCAAAATGTTTTTAATAAGGTATCTTAATGCTCTTAAGGCAATGAAGTTTTCATGAGAGTAGAAATGTCCTATCTTGATAACTGCCTTAAAAATACCACTGCTTGTTTGACCTGATTCTTTTTGTTGGTTTTTGGAAGTTCAACTGGTTTGTTAGAAAGGGATGAATGAGGAAAATGCAATGCTGGATTTACATTACTTATTAATGAATGTTTTAGTTATTTTAACTTAACAGGTTGTTTTTTATCTTCTCATAATCATTTTGATCTCTCTATCTGAAGGTAGCATCTAACTTGTTAGGAATTGGGTTTTAATCAAGAGCTTGCTAGTTCCTTATTGTTTTGGGTTTGTTTGTGATATCATTAAATGTTGGTTTAAATTTGATTTAGCATATTGAGACCTTTTGAGCTTGGCATGGTGGCATATACCTATAGCCCAGTTACTTAGGGAGCTGAGGCTGGAGAATCCCTTGAGGCAGGAATTTGAGGCCATCCTTGGTAACATAGCACCCAGACTCTAAATAAATAGGCAAACAAATAAACAAATAAAATRCTTGGTATAAAAACATGATACCTCTTGTAGTTAGTGGTCTTATAAGCATGAGCAAGAAATTTGACTGGACTTAACACTGGAAATAATAGAGATCAGATTAAAAAGTGTTATGGCTTTATATAACATTTGATTTAGTTCCTTGAGATTTTAGAAATAATCGTTTTTCCTTATAAACATTTACAATTTGTACATGTATCATAATTTTTTGCCTAGCTATTTTTTTTAACTCTCCCTTGGAAGGTACCCTGACAGAAATCAGCATTCTTTCATCTTTGCCTAAAGGAAGTGCTTACCTTAAGTTTCTTAGTTTCTGGGTAAAATAGCTACAGGCAAAATAGGAACTCAGTATTTTGCTTAATTTTTAAATGTTAGTACACTATGAGTCAATTATTTCTCCTCTAAACAAAAACCTAGTGCCTCACTTTACAGAAAAGTGAGCCCAAAGTAGTGATATATACCTAACAGTGGAATTAAGAAACTTGATACATATGTATGAGAGTATAGAGAGTTTTTTTTCCCCTTCCCTTTAAATCATATAGAATATCTCTTCCTTAGAATTGCTTAAGATTATCTTCATTGTATGTGTTGTCTGTATGTTGTATCTAATGTGTTCATTGTATGTTGGTYTTTTAGTTGGTGGTTAAGAAATATACTGGGTCAATGTTTTAAATAAAGGTATTATCTTGAATAGGTTTCATAAATATAAGTCATGCTAAGACTCTATTTGTGTGAAATCAGCAAAGAAAAGTTGCGTGACCTACTTATCTTTGCATGCCCAAATGCTAACATTTTGTCAGAATTTTTGTCATCTGAAGAGCAGTCTGTTCTAAATTAGTATAGTTAAAGTGAAATAATCTTGGAATTAGTGTTGATAAATGTTGTTGTTATTATCATGCTCCTCGTCCTCCTCCTCCTTTTTTTTTTTTTATACTGGAGATTGAACCCAGGAGGTCTTGACTACTCAATTACATCCCCCGCCCTTTTTATTTTTTATTTTGAGACAGGGTCTCCTAAGTTGCTTAGGGCCTCCTTAAATTGCTGAGGCTGGCCTTGAACTTGTGATCCTCCTGCCTCAGCCTCCAGAGTTGCTGGAATTACAGGTGTGCACAATCATGCCCAATGGTAAATTTAATTCTTAGAAAAGCAGATGTGATTAATTAAAAAACATTATATCTGTAGTTGATGCTCCCTTTCTGTTTTTCAAGATTTCCATCTAGATTGCACATTATAATTAAAATTTGTACATTTATTTATTTTGTAAAGAATCTGTTTTTTAAGACTGAGAGACAATTCTGAAATGGAAATCATTTGATCCTTTTAAGAGAATAGAGAAACTTTTTTCCTAGCTTCTCTTTGATTTTCACATTATTCCAGCACATTTGATGATAGATGATTTGATTTGATTGATTTGGATGATTTGGTTGCCTCCCCCAGTTCTTTCTCTCTTGGAAGGATCTGATGGACAGAAGATAAAAAATATCAACTTGCATCTCAGGTTCTTGGAATTGGAGAACAAATACCAAGTTATATTTAAAATGATTTGACTTAGAGAATCAAACCTGAATCAAAGCAGAGAGGACCTGAGATATATATTTTCTTAGTTTTCAATGGACTTTATTTTATTTATTTATATGTGGTGCTGAAAATTGAACCCAGTGCCTCAAACATGCTAGGCAAGTGCTCTGCCACTGAGCCACAACCCAGCTGCTGAGATGCATATATTAAGAATTGGGGTTAGATGTAGAATGAGTCAGAGGTCTATGAAACAAGACAAAAGCTAGAAGAGGGAGTTTCTATAGAAATGGGTGTCTTATGGAGGTACTGGACTCTAGAAAATGACTAGACTTTTGTGTTCCTGATAGTGTGTTGAACAGATAGTTCAGATCCATGTGTAGGAACAGAGACAGAATGAATGCCATTCTTTTTCTCCCTCAGATCCCTGTAGCAAGTAAGTATAGTTGTGATTTTCTTGGGTTTAATGGAAATCTTAATACCAAAGTCTCAAAAGTTTAATTCCTGCAGAGGCCAGATGAAGATATAAAGAGTTAAGTGACTAGTTCTGAGAGAAATTTTACTGTTGTAAAATGAAGAATCAACTCAGTCTAAAGGTCCAGCTATTATTGCCATTAATGAATGTGGGTTCCATGCTGGTAGACTTTTCAGAGTTTTCAAGAGGAGCTGAAAATATTATTGGGGGTGAAATTTTTTTAACTTAAACCTATTTTGTGGATCAGGCAAAATTTCCACCTGTCTTCTACTAGTGGCATGCCAGTTTGCATCTTCTACTTTAAAGCATTTTCTGTGCATTCTCATAGATATCATGGGTGGTTCTTCTGAAATCTGTTTCTTCTAGCAAACTGACAGAAAATCTGATCTTGGTATCACTACAGTTCTATTATCTACTCATTAATGTATCTGAGTTGTGCTGAATTGTTGGAGCACATCACAGGGCTTCATGAAGTAGAGGATGATAGGAGCAGCAGGGTACTTAATTTGGACTCTCATAGATTGTTCCTCTATTCTATTATTGACCCCTATTCTAATTAAGGTAAACAGTTTGGTCATGTCCAAAAGAGACCGGTACCTATCTCCTACTCAAGTGATTTCTCCTCCTTCTTGCCACTGATTTATTATCCCTTTATTTTATTTCTTGATCAACTGAAAGTCTTCCTGGATAACTTTTTCTAGATATTGACTAGCTAAAGAAAACTACTGGGGGATACTAGAGTCTAGAATGTAGCAGGGATAGAAAGCATAATTGCAGGCTTCAGAGAAAGTTTTGGGCAAATCATTTCTATTCCCTGTACACATCAGTATGTTCTCAAATCCTCATGAGCAAAATTTGAAAACCATAATTATTTATACTTTTCTGGGTTTTTTTCTAGCTTATTTAAAAGTATTTTTGATTATTTTTGCATGGGTAATGTACAAGATTAAGAAAAAAGAAAATTGGTAAAGTAAAAAACCTAATACATGGAAGGTTGGCCCTTCTCATCTCACACCCTTCTGTTCTCAGCAGGTGCCCACTATTTCTTCGGTTATCCTTTCTTAAGTTATTTGTTATTTTCTTCAGTTATCTTTCCTGAGATAGTCTTTACTTAAACACTACTGGAAACCATGACTATGTAGTGATGAGGGTTTTTTAAAGTTGCATTTGACACCTTGAGAATAGACATGCATTAGGAATTTGCCGCAGTCTGGCTGGGCACAATTCATGAGCCACTTGTCGAACAGGAACGAACTTTATTTTTTGAACGCAGCCCCACCACCCGAGCTCTCCAGGAATTCCCTGAGAGTCCAACTGCCACCACTGGCTCTTCTGGTGAGCACCTCAACCGCTCTTGAGGCAGATTGGCTGGGTCACATGGGCGGAGCCAAAAGAGTGCCCCAATGAACAGCTCCGTGGTCTGAAAGGGCGAGGAAACAGCCCAATGAGCATCTCCGTAGAGGAGCCAATCAGCTGGAAGTTTGCTGGRGCTGCGGTGAGCCAATCAGCTGGAAGTTTGCTGGGGCCTCTTCGGCTCTGGCTCTCAACATCAATTCAGAGCATTGATTAGCCAGTAGGAATTGATAAGTTAGAAAAGCAGAGGTAAAGGGAATTCAGGATTTTAAGGTCTTAGATGAAGGAACTAAGAGAAGATATGTGATTAAAGGATTGAGAATTGGAAAAATTTAACCTGGTATTGGATTTAACTGACATAATATATGGTATGCGTTTATAACAAGTAAAACAGAAATAGTCTTTTTTCTCCCCTCTCTGGTACTTAAGATCAGTCTCCACTGTAATGATCCATAAGGAGCATATGTTCAATAAATATTGTCTTTAGTGCCCAGTCATGTATGAGCTTTCTGTAAACTTTTTAGTTTTCTAATTATTAATCATGTTTCATTKAAGAAATAATCTTAATGCTATTTGTAAGGCTTTTGACTTGTAGTCTTCTAGAAAAAAAWTCAGTATCATGGGCAGAAATATCATATTTCAGGTAATAGACTATGTCACTGCATACAAATCCATTCTTTCTTCAATCAAAAAAGAATATGATGCCTTTATTGAGACACTAAAGAAAGACCGAAGAACTACATTTTTTCTTCATGGAAAACTTAAAGTTTGGGCAGCAGAGCCCACAGTTTTGGTATATCATCAGAGAAGAGCTATCCAGCTTGAAGCAAAGTAAGTATATTAGTAGCTAGCCCAAAAGGTGATAATTGTTTCTAGACTATAATAACCAGCCAATATAACTTTAACCAAAGGTTATTAGTCTTTTAAATTTCATTTTAATTTTAAAATCTGGGTTTTTATGYTTTCCTCTCCTATTAATTATATTTTTTTACATGTTTCAAGTAAGAGTATTAATTTTGTTTGAGAACTTTGTGAAAACCAGAGGTACACTGTGTTTTCATAAAATGGGGGATGCAAAAAATGATTCTCTAGGTAATTTCTTGCATGAAAAAAATTTTTAATTAATTAATTTATTCATGGAATAGCTTTTGATTTTTATTTAATTTTTTATTTATATGTGACAGCAGAATGCACTACAATTCTTATTACACATATAGAGCACAATTTTTCATATCTCTGGTTGTATACAAAGTATATTCCCACCAATTCATGTCTTCATACCTGTACTTTGGATAACAATGTCCATCACAATTCCACCATCATTTCTAACCCCATGCCCCATCCCTTTCCCTCCCACCTCTCTGCCCTATCTGGAGTTGTTTTATTTCTCCCATGATCCCTCTCCCTACCTCACTATGATCAGCCTCCTTATATCAGAGAAAACATATGGCATTTTTTTKGGGGGGGGGATTGGCTAACTTCACTTTGCATTATCTTCTCTAACTCCATCCATTTACCTGCAAATGCCATGATTTTATTCTCTTTTATTGCTGAGTGATATTCCGTTGTGTATATATGTCACATTTTTTTTTTATCCATTCATCTATTCAAGGGTATCTAAGTTGGTTCCACAGTTTATCTATTGTGAATTGTGCTGCTATATACATTGATGTGGCTGTGTCTCTGTAGTATGCTGTTTTTAAGTCCTTTGGGTATAGACCAGGAGAGAGATAGCAGGGTCAAATGGTGGCTCCATTCCCAATTTTCCAAGAAATCTCCATACTACTTTCCATATTGGCTGCACCAATTTGCAGTCCCACCAGCAGTGATTTGATAGTACAATTTCATGATTATTTCTGAATTAGAGCTTAATCTTGTAATGTACAAAAGTAAGTAACCTACTAGAGAGGAGAAAATACTCTTGTTGAGTAGTCATATTTTCAGTATTAAATTTGACAAAWAATTGATAAATATTTTTATAGATGATTTCAAATCAACTTAAAAATTATGTAAMGTTTGACCTTTCTGGTAATATGAATGGCTAGATGTTGGTATAGACCTTGCTATTAGGGATCTCTCTTTTCTTTTTAAAAGATTTCCAGTACTGGGGATCGAACCCAAGGCCTCATGCATGCAAGGCAAGCATTCTACTACTGAGCGCTCACTACATTCCCAGCTCTGTTTGTTTTTATTTTGAGATAGGCTCTCCTAAGTTGCCCAGACTGGCCTTCAATTTGCAATCTTTCTGCTTAAGCTGCCTGAGTAGCTTGAATTACAGGCGTGTGCCACCACACCTGGCTTTATAATTTATTTTTAATACTGAGGATTGAATCCAAGGGGGCTTTGCTACTGAGCTATATCCCCAGCCTTGTAATTTTTTGATTTGAGACAGGGTCTTACTAAGTTGCTTATTGCCTCCCTTCAAATTGATGATCGTCCTGCCTCAGCCTCCTGAATTGCTGGGTTTACAGACCTGCACCACTGTACCCAGCTTATAAAATAAACAAAAGTCTTTTCAGAAGCATTAGAAAGCTGATGAGAAAATAAGAGATTATGAGGGCAAAATCTAACAGAAGATAAAAAATAAGCAGAACACTAAAAATTGATTGGCCATGAGAATATTTATTAAAACTTGTGACCATAAATTTCAGTTTTTAGTATGCAATTTGGGATAAAAGACAAAGTCTAGGCTCTGCCCAAGGGGTGTAGCCCACTGGGAAGCCCTCCCCATAAGGCTAGAATGATAAAGGACTCCACTCTGGTAGAGCAACCCACAGGCGAACTGCTCCATGCCTGGGAACTGAATGGAAAATTACTWTCTGCTCAGCAGACTTCTGATGGGTATAGGGATTATTTTTTGGATGATGATACATTCTAGAACTATTTAGTGGTGATGGTTGTATTAAAATTCACTGAATTATACTCTTAAGGGTGAATTTTAAAAGAATCTAAACTACATATCAATAGAACTATTATAAAAGATGTGGCAGATTGGTTATATTAGCTTGTCTAATCACAGCTCTAAAAGAAAAGAATATGGGACAGAAGTAATATTTGAGGAGATAATGACTGAGAGTTTTCTAGAACTGGTGAAATATACCATGCTGCGCCCCTCCCCTGACTCAGGCAATGGCAAGGCCCTGCTGAGGTGGATGGCGCAAGGCATCCATCCTCTGGAGGAGCGCAGTATGTTTCTGGGRATGGGCTGGTTTGTTTTTGCATTCCTTTAATAAGTATAGTTGCGACTTCTCATATGACCATTAAGTATGAAGGAAAAAACATGACTTTCCCAATTAATGCAACTACTTCTAAAGAATAGATCTGTTTGCTCTAAATGCAATGATTCAGCTGTGGAGCATAAATTGTTAATGTCTAATGAAAAWCTCCCTGTATTCCTGTCAAGGAAGTTTTTGAGAAATTAAATTAAAATCTAGAGAAGAAAAATTAATGTTAAGAAGACAGATTAGTGCTTAGTACTGGGCAACTTGTTCTTGTTCCTGTGCACAATGGTTTGTGCTCTTACTCTTGTTTGATTAAAATTAATAACAAGTCAACCACTTGCCGTAACCATGGCACCRGTTCCAGTCAGTAAGTCAAGAAAGAATAGTCAAGGTATAGGCCAATAGTTTGGGACATTTCTAACTATTATAAAAAGTTAACTAAGCAGAAACAGCTCAAAGCAAAACTCGAACTGAAAGTACAAATGCTTGCTTATGCATAAGCCAAAATACATTCTTCTATTCTAATTGTAGCTACGTAATATTTTGTTTCTTTGAATAATGATTCCTGTTTTGTAACCACAAAGTACTGTGAGCCTGCCAAAATGAAAAGTCTATATGATCAACTTCACAAGTAAAGATTGGGATCAGCACCTTCACTTTGGTGTCTGTGTTGTTTCTCCACCCCCCTTTCGCCGACTCCTCACCATCCATTCGTCTCCTGAGACCCCCTGTTGGAGCTGGACTCCGACAATACCAATTCACAGATTCAAGAAAGCCAAGTGTGATACATGCTAAGAAATCCCCAGCTACATCTATCATCATGAAGTTGTAAAAAATAGACCATAAAAGTAGCATAGAAAGGAGCAACACTTGGGCTGGGGTTGTGGCTCAGTGGCAGAGCGCTTGCCTAACATGTGTGAGGCTCTGGGTTCGATTCTCAGCACCACATAACAATAAATAAATTAATTAAATAAAGGTCCATCAACATCCAAAACATTTTAGAAGAAAAAAAGAAAAAGAAAAAGAAAGGAGCAACACTTAGATGCCTTCTCATCCATGTGGTAGCATGAATTGGAATGTCATTATTTTATGATMAAATAATATTTTATTGTATGTACATGTTAAATTTTGTGTTAAATTTTGTGTATCCATCCATCTATTGATGGATTCTTGGGTTGTTTTCACCTTTGGCTATTCCACTATGAACATTCGTATACTAGTATCTGAGTTCCTGCTTTAAATTATTTTGAAGTCCTGTTTATTTTTAATATAGCTTTCTTTCACAAGCAGAAGTTTATTTGGAATAAAGCCAAATAAATTTTATTTCTATAATCCCTTTATTATAAATACTTGGCTTTTACTTTGAGTCATCTGTCGGAACCAAGAATTCGGTATAATAATCAGAAGTGGACAGCAGTTATCTACTAAAAAACTGGGTTTTAATTTGCAAAAAAAAGAAAAAGAAAAAAATAACTTTTTTTTTTTTTATATTGACAAAGATTCTTTATCTGGCTTCCCTGAACTCTTTTTCAAATAGACCTGTCTTCTGGACTTTCATATCCACCTATGACTGTATAGTTTTAGCAAGAATCCTATCAGATTGGTTTAGGCAGAATTTCCAGCCCTAAATACTTGATCATCCTCATTGTCTGACTAAATTCCTTATGTCTGATCATATCAGAGATAGTGGAGCCTTGCTGGCCTGCCTTCAGCAATTCTGTTAGGTCTACTTACCCAGAGTCTTCCCTTCTGATGTTTCCTCTTAGTTATTTTTTTTTCCACTGACACTCCCCCACCGCAGTTTCTTGACTATGTATTCCCACTTGCCAAATGTATTAGGAATTGAGACCAATCTTTCTCTCCTACTACAGAACCCCATTACAGTGGTCCCTAGATCTTGCCATGCCCCTCTTGCTTAATTTTTCTGCAAGGGTGTCTAACTTATTTTAGTCTGTTATTTTTTCCCCCTGGACCACCAAAGCTAGGAAATAAACCTCAAATAATCCTTAATAGAATTTTTGAAATTAGGCTGAAGCAGGAAGATCTCAGGTTCTAGGCGAGCCTGGGCTCTGTAGCAATACCTTGTCTCAAAAAGTAAAGCAGGGCTGGGGTTATAGCACAGTGGTGGAGTGCTTGCCTAGAGTGTGTAAAGCACTGGGTTCAATCCTCAGCACCACATAAAAATAAATAAATAAATAAAATAAAAGTATTGTATCTATCTACAACTAAAAAATATTAAAAGGAAAAAAAAAGTAAAGCAAAACCAAAACAGGCTAGAGATGTAGCTCAGTTGTATAGTGCGGACCTAAGGTACTTTTAAAACTAAGTTTGGTTATTTCTTAAACTAAGAAGTAGGGTAAATTTCATTTCTTTCCTTTTTTTCCCCCCCAGTACTAGAGATTAAACTCAGGGGCACTTAACCACAGAGCCACACACCCAGCTTTTTTTATTTTGAGATAGGGTCTTGCTAAATTGCTTAGGCTGACTTTAATCCTCCTGCCTCAGCCTCCCAAAATGGGAGACTTAATCCTCAACCTGCTGGGATTACAAGTGTGAACCACTATGCTGAGCACTACTTTGTAGTTTTTAGGATCTGCATTTCTGAATGTGCTCAATTTTACCTCAGGGAAGTGTTATCTCTCCTCTAGCTTTAGTATCAAAATCGCTGCAGTAGATTGAATAATGGCCCTCATAAACATCAGGTCCTAATTGCTGGAGCCTGCAAATGTTTATCTTTGTTTGGAAACAGGTTTTGCAGATGTGAATAAATTAAGGTTTTGAGGTAGGGAGATTATCCAGATAAGCCCTAGATATTAAGAAGTATTCTTATAAGGGGAGGAATAGGAGAGAGCAATGTGATCATGAAGGCAGAGATTGAAGCTTTGCAGCTATGGAATTCTTGAAGCAACCAGAGGCTGGAAAAGGCAAGGAACGGATTGACTCTTAGAGCTTCTAGAGGAAGCATGGCCCTCAAAACACTTTGATTTTATGYATAGTGATACTGATTTGGGACTTTAGCCCTCCACAATTGCTAGAGAATAAATTTCTGTTAAGTCACCAAGTTTCTATAATTTTTACAATAGCCACAGGAAACCAAAACAATTATTTACCAAAATGATATTTAAATTGCAAAAGTTATTTTTTTTTACTAAAAGGAATAGATGGTGTTTTGTGACTAGAATATGTTTAATATATATGTTTCTGATAGGTTAATAATCATAGCCAATATTAGATTATATTTTTACTGAAGCTCTCAAAGAAAATTGTTCCTTATTTGTGAGATTACTTAACTTTTTCAGGGCATGTTTTTCTGAACTTMTACCTAAATCATAATGGTTCAAAATGATAATTAGCCAAAATAAAATAATGATTTAACCTGCTTATCTTAAATATTATGATTCAAGAATTAAATTAATTGAAAGAAACATAAGAATTTCTGTTTTTTAGAATGAGGATTATTGAAAATAATTCCTTGAAGATTCAATTGCAAATAGATCAAATGAAACAGCTTAGGGAAGAGTATGACAAAAAAGAAGCAAAATACTATACTCTCTCCAAAGATCCTTCAAAACCTATTCCAGGTACTGTATTTTGTTTAAGATATTCGAGAGAGGGGGCTGGGATTGTGGCTCAGCAGAAGTGCACTTGCCTAGCACGTKCGAGGCGCTGGGTTCAATCCTCAGCACCACATAAAAATAAATAAATAAAATAAAGATACTGTGTCTGTGTCCAACTACAACTAAAAAAGTATTTAAAAAATATTCGAGAGAAAGCCCAACTATTTCCAGTTACTACCTATTACACAAATTTATATAAGCATGCTGACATGTTTATATCTATCAGTTATATGTTACAAAAACAACTTTAGTCAGTGTTCTAGATGGATACGTGGAAAATAGAAAACTTTAAACAACCCTAAAACATTTTAAGCATTCCAATCTGTCAGGGTTATATGAAGTATAAAGCAGTGACTCAAAGTATGGTTCTTGTATCAATATCAGCATCACCTGGAAATTGGTTAGAAATCCAAATTCTTGGGTCTCACTGCAGGCTTACTAAGTTAGAAACCCAGTGATTGAGTCTGGCAGTCAATGTTTTATCCAGTTCTGGTTATTATGATGTATTATAAAATTTCAGAACCGCTAGTATAATGTATGGAAAAAATGCAGGATATTGTTTTCATGCATCTTATTATTTGTGTTTATGTCTGTATTATTATTTGTGTTTATGTCTGCACTGTTTCAACATCTTAGTATAATACATATTTTAAGAAATTGGAGTGTATCTTGGAATTCAGTAGGATTTGTAGAKGTTTGTATGGTGAATATATAAAGTAGTTGTAAGTATTTATCCTGGAGAAAATAAAGACTTTGAAAATAGGTAATGATATTCAAAACTTAAAWGATATTTACTTGGTAGAATCAATAGGTGGAAATTGTAGGATGCCAGATTTGGTCTAAATGGAAGAGGCTCTTCCTTTAAGTAATAAGCTACTCTATACTAAAGGATTTTTACTAACTTTGCATTTTGTGGAAATAAAGATTCACATTCTATTTTTTTTTTGTCTAAATTCACCTTCAAATATAAATATAAAATCGTGACTAGCAAACTTCAAATAAGATATATATGAATAGGGGCTGGGGTCATGGCTCAGCRGTAGAGTGCTCGCCTAGCATGCATAAGGCACTGAGTTTGATCCTCAGCACCACATAAATGTAAAATAAAAGATATTGTGTCCACCTAAAACTTAAAAAATAAATATTTAAAACAATTGTTTTAAAAAAAGATATATATGAATAAGTACAGAATAACTGACAAATAAATTGGTGAGAAGATACAGGACAAGGGAATGATTAAAATCCAGTAGGGTTAATCCAGAGTGGTTCTGGAAGAGGGGAATTTTGAGGTATTTCATAAAGTTAGCAATTAGCCCAGATGAGAAAGGAAGGCATTTGAAGTGTTTGAGTTAGGAATAATGAATTCAGGGGACAGCAAGAGAGAAAGAGATAACTAGAGTTTTGGCAGGCATTTATAAGTTTTGTGTTGGAAAAAATAAGGTGATTATATTGGGGTTAATTTTTGTAAATAATGGGAAATGGAAATTTGTTGATTCAATCCTCAGTTATTAGGCAGAGGCTTTTGGTGATATTTAGGGGTTTTCAGGCAGTACTGATGAGGTAATTAAAAAAATTGCAAGGGCTAGAGTTGTGGCTCAGTGGTAGAGCGCTTGCCTTGCATGTGTGAGGCACTGGGTTTGATCCCCGGCCCCACATTTAAAAAAAAAAAATAAAGGTATTGTGTCCATCTACAAATACAAATATATATAATATATATGTTAAGGTTTGTGTGTTCTCAAACAAGCAATTTTTTCTTTTTCTTTTTTGGTACTGGGGATTGAACCCAGGGGCACTCAAACACTTGGCTACATCCCCAGCCCTATTTTGTATTTTATTTTAGAGACAGGGTCTCACTGAGTTGCTTAGTTTCTTGCCATTGCAGAGGCTGACTTTGAACTTGGGATCCTTCTGTCTCAGCTTCCTGAGCCACTGGGATTACAGGCATGKACCACTGTGTCCGACTAGAACAAGCAATCTTAACTGGGTCTTCACTGGTGATGTTTAAAACTGCTAGCCTTTTGCAATTTTTTGCTAATTTTGCTTATGTCAGGAGCTGTAAGTACATGCTACTACTTCTGAATTATTTCTTAGCATTGGAATCTCTGCTTMTTTTGCTGAGACACTATCTGAGCACAAGAGTTCCACAAATTGCTTGGCCTGTTTGATTTATTTCCTCTTCTCATAGGCATGACTCTCCAAGATTCTGTCAATCTAAATGCTCTCAGGAAATTCAGGAAACACCTTGAAGATAAATACAGAGAAATGAAACAAGCTATGTTGGTAAAATATGTACCAATTCAAAGGATGGCTGATTTTGATGAGGAAATGATTGTGTTATTAAAACGGCGAGATATAGCTGAAAATCTGAATGAAAGATTACAGTTTCGGTATGAAAGTTGATTGTATGTTTTTAAAGTTCAAAGGTTTTATTTGTTTATTTTAATATTCTACCTTTCAATTTTAGGCTTAGTATTTTGTTGATGTTTTTATCTTTATAGTCATCAAAGACTGCAGATTATTTTATATGCACTTTCTTCATGGGTAAAATCTGATAAGAGCAAAACATTTGAAGACTTCGTGGAAGAAGTTCAGAAAACCAAAGATTTTCATGGTAGCTTATCTACATTTTTAAATTAGCACAAGTAGTAGGAGATATTTTTCCCCTAGAAAACTAAGAATGAACTGAGTTTAAAGAAAACAAAAATACACTTACCTCGGCCTGCGGTTGTGGCTCAGAGGTAGAAAGCTCGCCTAGCATGCGTGAGGCACTGGGTTGGATCCTCAGCACCACATAAAGTAAAATAAAGGCATTGTGCTCACTTATAACTAAAAACAAWTTTTTTTTWWAAATATACTTACCTCTACTAGTTCTCTGATATCCTATGGGTTTCTTCCCTCAGCAGCGGTCAGATATTGGTTAAGAATAGACTTTGTGAGCCAAAGAGGGAATCCTTAAAATGAACTGAAAATAAGGAGCAAAGGGACAGGGATGCCACTCAGTTTAGGAAGAGGTTGGTACTGTTTGAAACCAAAGCAGTATTAAATGTATGTTTATGGGCTGGGGTGTAACTCAGTTGGTAGAGTGCTTGCCTTGCACACACAAGTCCCTGGGTTCAATCCCCAGCACCACCAAAAAAAAAAAAAAAGTATGTTTATTATTTTTTATTGGTAAATAACCTTAAATATCTTATGTTGRTCCTTTTAGCATTTATAGTTGACCAAGGCTTTGTTGAAGAACTGCTTGAAGATGATCCAAGCAAGGCAAAAAATGCTGAAATTATACTGTACTACATTGAAAGGCAAATATTTTTAAAACTTTGATTTTCTACATTTAAGTGACCATGTTTATCATTTATTTAGTATTTTGATAAGCTGTAGTCTTTGTTTTTTATATCTTTAAAATTCTATTTTAGTTGAAAATTTAGAACATAAAGTAGAATTTCATTTTTTATGGATTTTTTGTGGAAAAAAACTCACAGCTTATAGCAGACATTTCAGAGAAGATAAGAGGATTGTAGTGTTGATATAAATCTTATTTACATTTTTCTTGCATTCCCTAGCCATCAATTTACTGGTCTTAAATGTTCTTTTGAGAATTTCTTTTCTTTTCATTTCTTTTCTTCTTCCTTCCTTCCTTCCTTCCTTCCTTCCTTCCTTCCTTCCCTCCCTCCCTCCCTCCCAGGGATTAAACTCAGGGGCATTCGACTAAGTAATATGTACAGGATCAAGTTCAAAGTCAGCTTTGTTTTATAATGAGATAAAACAAAACACCCCCAAGAATATTAGAGAAAAAATTGAATGAACAGCCTCTAAGTAAACAAATCTAGTCATAGTTCGTTAGAATTGTTTTTTGTTCTTCTATATTATGCCACTATACTTACTTCATATTAGATATTTCTAATCAGCGTTCTTACTTTTTTGTGTACCATTATAAAATGCAATGGCTCTAGGTTCAATGAACTAATGTCACTTGGTGAATATGAAAAGGCAGCTTATTTTGCAGCAAGCAGTCCTAGAAGGATTCTTCGAAACATGGGTTCAATGGATAAATTTAAGGGTAAGCATCTCTCTCCAAACCTTATCCATGTATGTAAATTATACTTTTTTTTCTTGATAGAATATAAAGAATATTAAACTGAGAGACTAAAGATCAGATCTAGACTCCAGCCCTATCTCTGTCATTTACTGTTAAAATTAAGGACTTTGAATAGTTTTTCTAACTTAAATTTTGATATATTACAAGTATATAGAAAATATGGAGAAATGTATTAACACTCATATACTCACTATCAAAATGTAATGAATGTTAATATTTCGTCAAATTTACTTATTTTTTTTATACTGAGGATTGAACCCAAGGGTGCTCTACTACTGAGCTACACTCTCAGTCCATTGTATTTTTTATTTTGAGAAAGGTCTCACTAAGTTGCCAAGGCTGGCCTTGAACTTATGATTCTCCCGCTTGCCTTCTAAGTAGCTGGGATTACAGGCATGCACCACTGTGCCCGATCGGCAGGCATATCCTTTTAAAAAACAACTTTCTTGTCGTAAATTGACATACATACAACAAGTTGTGTGTATTTAAAGTACATAATATGTGTATGTTATTTATACTGTCTCTTGTACAATAATATATTTCATTTTTAAAGTCATGTGTACTATGTTCTGACAGGTTGTCAGGCAATTTTATAGTGTGCAAACAGCACAGAACACACTTTAAAAACCCTAGATGGAATAGCCTAGGCGATATGGTATAGCCTATTATTCCTAAGCCACAAACCTATACAGCATATTACTATACTGAATACTGTGGCAACTGTAACACAAGAATAAGTATTTATATATTTAAACATAGAAAAAGTAGTTTATTGGTTAAGTGCCTCTGGGTTCAATCCCCGTTGGGCCCCCCTCAAAAAAAAGAAAAAGAAAAGAAAAACAGGAACAGACCAACCCCCAAAGTCAGTAGAAGAAAAGAAATAATAAATGTCAGAGAGAAATAAATAGAGACTAAAAAAAAACAAAACAAACAATACAATGAACAAAGAGTTGATTCTCTGAAAACATAAAATTGACAAATTACTAACCAAAATTGAAGAACCAAATAAATAAAACTAGAGATGGAAAGGTATTTCACAAATACCAGTGAAATCCAGAGGATCATTAGTTCATATTTTTTAAGTACTCCCTGCCAATAAATTTTCTGGACATATATGACCTGCCAAAAATTGAATCAAGATGATATAAGAAATGTAAATAGACCAATAACAAGCATCAGACCTAAGCAATAATAAAGTCTTAAGCAAAGTAAAGTCCTGGACCAGATGGGTTCGCTGCTGAATTGTACCAGACTTTTGAAGAGTGAATACCAATGTTTCTCAAATTACTCTATAAACAAACAAAGACATACACAGGAACTCTCCCAAACTCTTTTTACAAAGCCAAAATTACTATACTACCAAAGCCTGAAAAAGACATATCAAAAAAAAGAAGAAGAACGAAAAAGATAACTGTAGACCAATATTCTTAATGAACATAGATGCAGAATCCTCAATAAAATACTTGCAAATTGAATTCAGTATCACATTAACAATATCATAYACTGAGGTCAAGTTGGTCTCATTCTGGGATGCAAGACTGATTCAACATYTGCAAATTAATAAATGTAATTCACTACATAAATAGAATCAAATATAAAAATTACCTAATCATCTCAATAGATGCAGAAAAGCCTTTGATAAAATTCAGCATCCCTTCAGGATAAAAACCTTTAATGAATTATATATACAGGATCATATCTCAGGATATAGAGGCTATATGTGAAAAATCCATAGCCAACATCATACTAAATGGGGAAAAACAAAGAATCTTTTTTAAAATCAAGAATGAGACAAGGATGTACACTCTTAACACTCTTATTTAGCACTCAAGATTTTAGCAGAGCAATCAGGCAAGAGAAAGAAAGAAAATGGATAYAAATAGAAAAAGAAAAAGTTAAATTAGCTTTGTTTGTAGATGATATGATTCTATACCTAGAAAATCCTGGAGATTTTAGAACTGATAAATTGGGCAAAGTAGCAGGATACAAAATCACCATACAAAAATTGGTAGCTTTTCCTATATCCACCAATAATGAAATAAGGAAAATGGTCCTATTCACAATTATCTCAAAAACAAGACCAAAAACATAAGAATAAACCTAACTAAGGAGTTGAAAGACCTCTACAATGAAAATTATAAAACACTGAAAAAATATTGAAGAAAATAATGGAAGTTGGAAAGATGTCCCATATTCATGGGTTGGGAGAATTAATACTGTTCAAATGGCCATATTGCTGAAAGCTATCTATAGATTCAATAAAATCCCCATCAAAATACTAATGACTGGCCTGGAATTGTGGCTCAGTGGTAGAACACTTGCCTAGCATGTGTGAGTTCCTGGGTTCAATTCTTAGCACTGTATATAATAAATGAATAAAATAAAGGTCCATCAACATGTAAAAAAATATTTTTAAAAATACTAATGGCATTATTCACATAACTAGAAAAAATAATCAAGTTCATATGGAAGCACAAAACACCTGAATAGTCAAAAGCAATCCTGAGTAAAAAGAACAATGATGGAGGAATCATAATACCTGATTTCAAAATATGCCATGTATTGTATGATATTGTCATAAAAATAGGTACATAGAGTCATGGAATAGAATAGAGGATCCAGGAATAAATCCACCTATCTGCAGTCATCTGACTATTGAGAAAGGAGCCAAAAACATGCTGGAGAAAAGACAGCTTCTTCAATAAATGGTGCTGGGAAAACTGGGTATCTGCATGTAAAAGATTGATACTAGATCCCCATCTCTCACAAAAACTAATTCAAAATGGATCAAAGACCTTAATATAATACCTGAAATTTTGAAATTATTAGAGGAAAACAGGGGAAATACTTCAAGATACTGGTATAGACAACACTGTCCTCAACAAGACTCTAGTAGCTCAGGAAGTAATAGCAAGAATGGAAAAATGGGATTATATAAAATTAAAAAGCTTCTGGGGGGGGAGGAGCTGGGGTTGTGGCTTAGCAGTAGAGCGCTCGCCTAGCATGAGTGAGGCCCTGCGTTCGATCCTCAGGACCACATAAAAAAATTTWAAAAAATAAAAATAAAAAAACAAAAAGTTTCTGTGCAGCAAAGGAGATGGTCAGCAGAGTAAAGAAAGAGACAGGCCTGCCGAATGAAAGAAAAGCTATGTCAGCTATTCAGCTGTCAAAGAATTAATATCCAGAATATATGAAGGRCTCAAAAATTAACACCAAAAGAACAAGCAATTCATTTAATAAATGGGAAAATGAGCTGAACAGACATTTCTCAAAAGAAGTACAAATGGCCAATAATTATATGAATAAATGCTCAACATCTTAGTTCTTAGGGAAATGCACATAAAAACTTTATATGTATTGAAATTCCATCTTGTTACACTCAGATAGTCTAGAAAACAAAACCAAAAACAAAATTAAGAATACAAAACCAAATGAAAATAGCTYTCAGGGATGCAGGGGAAAAGGAATACACTGTTGGTGGGAGTGTAAACTAATAAAGCCACTATGGAATTTTAGTATGGAATTTCCTCAAACAAAAATGGAACTACCATATACAATAGAGAGAACTGCATGTGCATCTTTATTGCAGCACTATATACAATAGGCAAGTTGTGGAATCAATCTAGATTCCCATCAACAAATGAACTGTTCATATGTGCGTGTCAGAGTGTGTATATATGTATATATCACATTTTTATCAGTTCATGTATATACACATAAACACAATGGAGTATTATTCATCCCTGAAGAAGAATGAAATCATGTGATTTGTAACAAAGTGGATGGAATTGGAGCTCATCGTGTTAAATAAAATAAGCCAGACCCAGAAAGACAAGTATCACATGTTTTCTCTAGTGTGGAATCTAGAGTGGGGACACGTTAGGCAGCATGAAAGTAGAAAGGGTACTGTTAGGGAAGGGGAGAGGGACCAAGGATCAGGAGGAAGTGGTAAGAGAGGTAACAGTGAGATCAAAATACATTATATGCATGTATGAAAATACCACAAAGAAACCCATTATTTTGTACAATTAATATACATTATTATTATTTGATACCTAGGATTGAACTCAGGGCATTTAACCACTGAGCCACATCCCCAGCCCTTTTTTCATATTTTATTAGAGACGAGTCTCACTGTGTTGCTTAGGGCCCTGCTAAATTGCCAAGTCTGGCTTTGAACTTGAGTTTCTCCCGCCTCAGCCTCCGAGCTGCTAATCCCAGCTTCACATTATTTTTTAAAGATTCTAATTTATTATTCTCATTGAATTATTTTCAAAGTTAAGATCTATAGTCTGGCTAAATATGTAGTTCTGAATACCCAGTTTTATATTTTTCTCATTTGGTTATAGAGCAATGTAGTTTGCTTGAGGACTTAAAAATTTTTTTTTTCTTAGTTTTAGTTGGACACAATATCCTTATTATTTATTTATTTTTATGTGGTGCTGAGGATTGAACCTAGTGCCTCACACATGCGAGGTAAACACTCCACCACTGAGCCGCAACTCCAGCCCCTGCATGAGGAATTTTATCCTCAATGTATTTGTAACTACGTCTTTTGTGTTCTTTATTCAAATCAGGTTTTTTTTTTTTTTTTTGGTCACACCATTAATGGGAGACTCTGTCACTTGAAATAAAATAAATTTATTTTCTCACAGTTCTGGAGGCCAAAAGTCTGAAATCAAGGTGTCAGCAGGGTTGGTTTCTTCTGGAGACTCTAAGTGGGCTTGCCTAGCTTCTAGTCATTGTTAGCAACTTTTCTGCSTATCTCGGCTTGTAGACGGATCACTCTAATCTCTGCCACCATCTTCAAAGGGTGTAAATAATGATATTTAGTCCTCATCCAATATATAAAGTTTAATCTATATGTAATACTAAGCTTTTTAGAAAATGCAGAGATGAAAATAATAATATGAAATAAGAAAAAGCAAACTTTCTTAAAATATTTGATTCTAACATTTTTTCTTTTCTGTAGCTATTGGAAAAATTAGAGGAAAAACTCTTCCATTACTCTTATTTTTTGAGGCTATATTTAGCACAAGCCATGCTTTTAAAACTCCTGTTGATGCAGATCTAACCCTAGAGGGAATCAAATGTGGATTATCTGAAAAACGGCTGGATTTAGTTATCAACTGGGTCACCCAGGAAAAGTAAGCAAAATTAAATCTTAATTGTGACATTTTGTTAATATTATTGTTTGGTCTAAAAATTATAATAGTTTTCACATTAATACATTATTTGAGCATTTACATCAGGTCCCTATTGCAGTTAATCAGAAAGTATTTACTAAGCATTCACAGAGTAATGAGACCTAGTCACAATAAGCACAAACAAAGAGTTGAGTGACAGCACTCTCCAAGGTGATTTATAAGAACCTAATGAGGGGCTGGGGATGTGGCTCAAGTGATAACGCGCTCTCCTGGCATGCGTGCGGCCCGGGTTCGATCCTCAGCACCACATACAAACAAAAGATGTTGTGTCTGCTGAGAACTAAAAATAAATAAATATTTAAAATATTCTCTCTCTCTCTCTCTCTCTCTCTCTTAAAAAAAAAAGAACATAATGATAGATGGAAGTTGAGCAATAAGAATAAAGAAGTGGTGAAAGGAGACCCTCATCATTATACAAAATACATGTATGAAGATGAGAATTTGATGTCAACATATATAATCAGAGATATGATAAACTATGGTATGATGGTGTATTAGGAATTGTAATGCAAAAATAAATTTTAAAAAATTAAAAAATAAAGAAAAAAATTAAAAAAAAAAGAATAGAGAAGGATTGGTCAGTATCATGCTGATTGGGAGAGAAAAGGTAGATTCAAATCTGGTTCTGGATAGGCTGTGGGGACATGTAAAGAATGCAGCCAAGAGGCAGTGTATAAGCAGGAAGAATATGGACCAAGATGATAAAAAACACATAAAGCAGGCAAGGTGACAGGCGAGAGATGACTTCTTGAAGCTGAATCTCAGCATAGCTTGGCAGGTTTGTGCTAGCTCTTTGAGGTTAGGTTCCCTAGAACCAAAGCCTGAAGACAAGAATTTGGGTGAATATGATTATTAGAGGTAGGGCTTCTCAGGAAATACATTAGGAAATGAGTGAAATAGAATAGGGAAGGGGAAAGAGTCAAGCAAGGATATGGCCTCAGACAAAGTCTACTTGGCCTAATTTATTGCTCAGGAGCATAAAGCACACTATAGAGCTGCTCTTCCTTGATGTAATGGACCAGTCTTTTATATTTCTCTACCAGGAAGAATATTCTGGCCCTGTAGGGAAAATTTGGATGGGACATTTGAGTGGTATCAATTCCAGTCAACCAGCTGCACAAAGCCATTCTATTTGCTTCTCACATTAAAGTATACACGGGGTTGGGGATATAGTTAAGTTGGTAGAGTGCTTGCCGCTCATGCCCAAGGCCCTGGGTTCAATCCCCAGCACCACACACACAAAAAATGTATACTCACAGGGCACAGTGATGCACACCTGTAATCCCAGCAGTTTAGGAGGCTGAGGCAGGAGGATCATGAGTTCAAAGCCAGCCTGAGGCACTAAGCAACTCAGTGAGACCCTGTTTCTAAATAAAATACAAAATAGGGCTGGAAATGTGGCTCAGTGGTCAAGTGCCCCTGAGTTCAATCCTCATACCCACCCCACCAAAAAAAAAAAAAAAAAGTCTTTGGTACTAAGGATTGAACCCAGGGATGCCTAGCCACTGAGCTATATCCCTAGTCCTTTTCAGGTTTTATTTTGAGACAGGGTCTCATGTTGGGTCTTGATAAGTTCCTGAACAAAAAAAGTATCCAACTTCTGCAGGATTCTGTGGTCATAATTCCTGGGGAAACATAATTCTTGAGGAGAGTTAGTGGAACATACTGTAGCTCCTGTTACTATGTAGGATACTACATAATTTGTTTTTTTTTTTTATAACTTTATTGAGGTAAAATTTACATGCAATAAGCTACACATACTTAGAGGATATAATTTGATGAGTTTGATTAGAAAAAGCATTARTGGGATATAACTGACAAACAAAAACTCAACATATTCAAAGTATAGAATTTGACAAATTTTGACATAAGTATATATTCATGAAATCTTTACCATAATCAAGGTAATTTAACATACATAACTCTCAACTGTTTCCTTATACTTCCTGTATTGCTCCTTCCTTCCTCCATTTCCTTACTCTGACCACCTTTCTCTCTATACCCAGGTAACAACAGATTGGCTTTCTATCACTGTRGAATAGTTTATAGAATTTTCTAGAATTTTATGTTAATGGAATTATACAGTTATGTATTCTTTTTTCTTCTTGGATTGGCTTCTTTCACTTATAATTATTTTCAGATTCATCCATACTAAATAGTACTAATTATCTCCCTTCTGTCATCTAATTAATTTTTTTTTTTATTCTTGCACTTCTGTTGGTTTTGATGACTTGCCTGGTAGGATGACCTTGATTATCAAGCCTTTATCAAATTGAAATTAAAAGTTATATCTTTAATTATACCCAAATGTTCTTATTGCTCGTGCTAATGATTTCTAGGAAGAGTTACTGTGATAATACAGATGATTCACTTCAACTGTGTATGAAGATGGAAAATTAAGATATAATGACAGCTAGGATGATGGTACAGGCCTGTAATCCCAGCTGTTCTGGAGGCTGAGGCAGGAGTATTGCCAGTTCAAAGCCAGCCTTAGCAATTTATGGAGACCCAACGTGAGACCCTGTCTCAAAATAAAACCTGAAAAGGACTAGGGATATAGTTCAGTGGCTAGGCATCCCTGGGTTCAATCCCTAGTACCAAAAAAAAAAAAAAAAAGGCAAATGAAATCTATTCGATCAAGCTGTCTCAAAAGAAGTGCTTCTTCAGTTTAAATCTCTCCTAATAGGCACAGTTATGTCTTTTCTCCCCTGTTGCTTCTTATAAATCTATAACAAATTTTAAAAGTAACAATGCTGTCATACTTTCTCTGTTTTCTTTTTAGTACAAATGTTTCTTGAAAGATCTATCACTAATTTTGAGGTAAAATTGTTCTATCTTTAACCAACAATTAATAAGTTCTTTATATTCTACAGTTCTGGACTCTATGTAGCTGCTGAGAATATTGTGACCCCCAATTCTAAGAKAATTTTTGTTTATCTTGTAATTTTAAATCCTGTCCATATTATCAGGAGAGTTTTAACTTTGTTTATAGATTTTTTTTAATCTGATTTTTTTTTTTCTTTTGAGACAGGGTCTTGCTAAATTTCTGAGGCTGGCCTTGAACTTGTGATCCTCCTGCCTCAGCCTCCTGAGTTGCTGGGGTTTGTAGATGTTTTAAAAACTTGATATCAGTTTCACCAAAATGTCTTCCCCCCAAATAATACTTGTTCATTTGTTGTTAAATCTCAGATATGTTTAATTTTTTTTATACCAATTGTCTACTGATTTGGAATCATTACAAGGTATAGAGAAGTCATGCTGAATTTTCAAATATTTCAGTCTCAGCTACTCATCAAGATTTCTCTAATGTATGCCTTATTGATCTGCTTGCTCTAGGCTGACATTTTCAGAGAAGGCTGGGGATGTGATTTATGATTATGGGGAACAAGACACTTTTAACAAAGCCAAGTGCCTGGCTTTAGCTCAGATTATCTACAGTGAATGTGGCCTGCATAAGAAAGTTCTTCTTTGCCTGTGTAAACAGGGTCAGATCCATGGGGCCATAGAATACTTACAACAATTCAAGGACTTTACTCCTGGTAAATAAAAGAGGCTACTTATTTGTGTACTTTCAAATTCTGGACTTGACTTCTAAGATCACTGATCACAGCAGGCATTATTTTAAATTTACATTATAGAATCTATTTTATACATATTGATAAGTAGGATATTTCTTTTGTAATTTTTCATGAAAATAGTTAAGATGGAGCTAATTGAATTTCATGGTAGACATTAAAATTCATTATGCACTTTCCCAAAACATTAGTAAATTGGATGATATTGGAAATATATAGTCTTTTAAAAAATATTATTTTAATTAGTTATACATGACAGTAGAATGCATTTATGCACTTTGATATACACAGATAGGTTATAATTTTTCTTTTTTCTGAGTGTACWTGTTGCAGAATCATATTGGTCATGCAGTCACACATATACATAAAGTAATAATGTTTGTTTCATTCCACCATCTTTCCTATCCCTTTATCCCCTCTCCTCCCTTCACCTCCCTCTACCTAATCTAAGGTAACACTATTCTTCTCTAGTGCCCCCCCACYCCACTTCCCACCGCCTTAGTGTGAGTTAGCATCCACATATTAGAGAAAACATTCGGCCTTTGGTTTTTTGGGATTGGTTTATTTCGCTTAGCATGATATTCTCCAACTCCATTCATTTATTGGCAAATGCCATAATTTTATTCTTCTTTAAAGATAAGCAATATTCCATTGAATATATATACCACATTTTCTTTATCCATTCATCTATTGAAGGATACCTAGGTAGGTAGGTTCCATAGTTTAGCTATTGTGAATTGAGCTGCTATAAACATTAATGTGGCTGCATTACTGTAGTATGTTGATTTTAAGTCCTTTGGGTATAAACGGAAATATATACTCTTAAAGATAACTTTAATGGATATGTTGGACCAGGCTACATAGGGCTATTTTAAAATTACTGAACTTATCTGTCATATATAATATTCTAAAGTATTACAATTGAAAAAATTAAGGAAATAATGTTTATTTCAGAATTTTGAAACACCTAGGTTATATCAGGATGCTGAGATAGTTTTTCATTTTTATTTTCAGATGACCTGATGAAGCTAATAACATTATGTCCTCAAACTGAACTAATTCAATGTCTCACTGAAGAAAAGAATGGGAGACCACCATTTTTATCTTTTGGACTTGCCATACTTCATCTGTTCTCTGTGAATATGGAAAAAGTTGGCATTAAGCTACTCCAAGAAATAAACAAAGGTGGGATAGGTAAGTAGAGTAAAATGTTGTTGTGAAAGAAATATTAGTGGGTTATTTAAGGAAAGGTTCAAGATAGTTATGTACGAGTTAACACAAATTTTCCTTAGGGTTCCTTCTTAGCAAGAATTAATTTGAGAGGCTGTGGCTTAAAGGTAGAGCGCTCACCTAGTACATGCCAGGCTCTGGGTTTGATCCTCAGCACCACATAAAAATAAATAAATAAAATAAAGGTATAAAAAATAAAAAAGAAAAAGAATTAATTTGAGGCTGGTAACATTGGCACATGCCTGTAATCCCAGCTACTTGAGAGATTGAGGCAGGAGGATTTCAAGTTAGAGGCCAGTTTGGGCAATTTAGTGCGATCCTATCTCAATATACAAAAATAAAAAGTGTTAGGGGAATACTGGGGATAGTATTCCCTGCAAAAAAAGAGTTAGGAGTTGATAAATATAACAATTCCATGCCAATAATAGTCTATTGACAATACTATATATTTCTTAAGAGAATTAGAATGAAGAGAAAATCTTTTTAAAGCCTGAGAGGAATGCAATAACAATTGTATAGCTAACACTTTTATAAATTATAAAACTTTACATATATTAATGTATGTGTACTTTTTTTAAGAGGGAGAGAGAGAGAGAGARGGAATTTTAATATTTATTTTTTTAGTTTTCGGCGGACACAACATCTTTGTATGTGGTGCTGAGGATCGAACCCRAGCCGCACGCATGCCAAGCGAGCGCGCTACCGCTTGAGCCACATCCCCAGCCCGTATGTGTATTTTTAGCAATAGTTTATGTGTATTTTATTAAATATTATTTAGATATAAACATGTATTTTAATTTCTAAACCAAATATATGAATATTTAATATGATAATCATTCTGAACTGAACTGCAGTGGGATAGAGAATTTTAAAAAATTCACTTTTTTTCTCTTTCATTAATTTAACATGAATTTGAGCAGTTTGATTTCATTTTTTATTTTTATTTTCTGATACTGGGGGTTGAGTAAAGTTCAGAGGTGCTTTACCACTGAACCACATCCCCAGCCCTTTTTATTTTTTATTTTGATAGGATCTCACTAAGTTGCTCAGGGCCTTACTAAGTTGCTGAGGCTGTCCTTGAACTTGCAATCCTCCTGCCTCATCTTCCCAAATTGCTGGAATTACAGATGTTTACCACCACATGTAATTGCCTGAAAACATATTTGTGAAGATAATTTAATATTTTGAAATTCTCATTACAGATATTATCTAAAATATTTGATAGGAAAATAAATTACAATTGTGATATAAATAAAATAATAGCAGTAACTATTCCAAAGAGAAATCCTCTTTTATTAAGTATCACTAAGTAATGCAGGTAATTGGTAAGAAATTCATTTTGTAGAATCTCACTATTATGTATAATTATAATGTACTAATTAAAAAAATTAATTACATAAATTGATAGATCACAGAGTCACTAATTGACTTTTAAAAGTAAATAATGTCATTAGATTTCACTTAAAAACAAAATTATTTCTTTAGAAAAACATTTGCTATAGAAACCACATTAAGGATGTGGCTTCAAGGCTTCCATTTAGGGAAATGATGGAAGATTTGCCTAAGAGTTTCTGAAACCCTTGGGACAGCACTACTAAGGCATTTACTGAAGTGCTTGAAGAATCATGAGAACTCGGGCAACAGATCCTTAGTTATTTGACAAATTATGGTAGATCATTATAGGCTCTGTGAATAAGGAAGAGCCCACACTCTTCACTTTCTGAGCTCCTTACTTTATAGCCTTCAGTGTCTGCTGCCTTATCCAAAAGGAGATGAGTGGAGAAGTGTGGAATGTGGAAAATGGTAGAGGGCTGAATTGAGAAATGAAAGGGTAATGATAAAGGGGGAGAAGGAACTAACAGTTGAAAACTTAACCTGAGCAGGTCTAAGCATACTAAATGTTATATCATTAAACTTAATGGAAATCAGGTAGAGTTCAAAAGTAACTCAGGTGAAACTAGGTCCCTTTTTTTTTTTTTTTTTTTTTTTTTTTTTGAAGAATCACTAAACCCAGCATGGTGGCACATGCCTGTAATTCCCAGTGGCTTGGGAGGCTGGGGTAGGAGGATCATAAGCTTGAGGTCAGCTTGGGCAATTTAGTGAGGTCCTAAGCAACTTAGCGAGAGCCTGTCTCAAAAAATAGAAACTACCGGGGATGGAACTYAAYGGTTAAGGGCCCCTGGSTTCAGTCCCTAGTACTAAAAAAAGAAAAAGAAGAAGAATCACTAAGTGTGGATTATCAGATAAGTACTATACTGTAATATTGTATTTTTCTTCTCAGATGCAGTAGAACATCTTGTGATAAATGATTCATATTGCTCCCTAGAAATGTGGCAAAAATTGGCAAATATATGTTTACAGAGTGGCTTTGACAAATTATCTAATGACATCATATCCATTCTTCGATCTCAGGCTGGAGTTGCAGAAATTTCTGAAGAAGAAGATACAGTCAATTTAATGGAACATGTTTTTTGGTAGTTCTGTATTTTAGCCAGTTGAGGGAGCTTGTACAACATTTTACAGGCAAACTAGTTTTCTCATAATTAACTTACAAATAAATCTAGTGCATGAAGCTCTCAGAAGTAAATCACACTTCTTTTTGTTATGATTTCAAGTTGGCTTCTTAAAAATCTTCATTTTTTGAATTTTTGAATCCTTGATATTTTTAGGAAAAAACCTCTGAGGTCTTTTTTCTGTGTAATGCAAGAAAAAGCAAGATGATACTTCAGGGTTGACTCACTGACAAAAAGCTAGAGTATAATAATTTTGTATTTAAAATACTGCTGATTTAAAGATGTACCCCATGATTTGGCATATATAAATATGGCAAAGATTAGGCTTCTACTAAGGTTGGGCATCTTAACATGTTCTTACTTAGAGGGAAGATCAGCCAAGGTTTGCTCATAAGCAGAACTGGGATACCTATAGGCATAAATGTGTCATAAAGTGTTATTTTATGACTTCAAATATGTAAATATTTGAAGTATTTGGGAACTCATAGTTCTGTGCCTTGATTAGGTGTGATAATCAAAATCGTTAATGATCAATATGACAGGGGCACCAATTAAGCGGAACAGACATCCAACCAATCAGAACAGCTTTCTGTTCTTATTGCCACATCAGAACATAGTAGCTGAATGTCAGCCTTGACCATGGGGTATGGTAAAAATTAGCTGCTGTTACATAGAATAGGAATAAAAAAATAATTTTTTTCTCCTAAATTTAAATTGGATATGTATTTTTTATGTCACAATGGAAAGAATATGAACTTGGAGTCAGTCTTATTAAAATTCTGGTACTATCTTTTACTCATTTGTGAAATTTGTCTGATCTAGGCTTGTTTGAGGATTAGTGATAATTTATATGTATAATATAACATGATGGAGAAATTCAGTAGAAGATGGCCATCATTTTTATGTAGTAGGCCCCAGAAGCACATATTCTCTGCTTAGTTTATACTTAATTAATCCCACATTTCTATCCCTTTGTTTGCTACAACTGTAATTCTTTAGAGTAGTTGACATTAGTTTAACTTATTGTCTAAACTCATATTTTGGTTGCCTGGCATATAGTATAAATCCATAAGTGTACGGGCTGAGTTTAATTTTTCCATATAGTGCTAAAAATTTCTAGATAGCTATACTTCAGTTTTCTAAACTTTAATAATTTTACTAAAGTAATATGAATAGTTTAAAAAGCATCATATTATTAAGATGCTTATGATAATTAATAATATTTTTATTTCTGGTCTTTCATTAGCTGTGATTTTTTAAAAGAACAGATGAAGGCAAGAAAAAAGAAGGGAAAGTAAGAGAGTATTTCAGCCACATCCATTCTTTAGGTCACAATGGTTTAAGTCCTTTTTTTCCTTTGAGAATTGCACAATTGATAGCAAGCTCCTGTGGGTTCACTGACAGAATTTAGGAACAAAATGTGACCATGAAGGCCAGGGGGATGAAGTAGCTATATAAATCTGGAAAAAGCTTGAGGTAGCAGCTGTTTTTTTTTTTTTTTCTTCTTAATTTTACCTTGATTTTGAAATGTTTTCCCTTTGCTCATTATGATTCCTTCTCAGTTATCATTACCTTTGGCAGCTTTCCTAAGGAAAGTAAAAGTTGTCAAGTGAATATAAATTAAAATGCCTGGAGATAAAAGTTGGGAGGAAGAGTGAGAATACAAATGAAAAGGAGAAGGAGAAATAATTGAGTTGTGAGCTATGTAGTTGTGAACTATAAGAACCTCCCTGTAATCTACACTGAAAGAAGTATAACATGGGCTCACCACAGAAGCCTGCCTTACAGACCAGCTGTACCCCTACTGAGCTCTGTGCTCTTTTCCTCATGCTTAAGATGATTTATTTTTTAAAGGAGGAAAAGTTCATTTAGGGGCTCATGGTTTCAGAAGTCTCAATCCATAGATAGCAGGCTCTATTCCTCTGGGCTCAGGGTGAGGCAGAACATCATGGCAGAAGAGTGTATCAGAGGGAAACAGCTCACATGGTGATCAGAAAGCAGAGAGAGGTCTCCACTTGCCAGATACAAATATATAGGCCAGAGCCACGCCTCCAATGCCCCACCTTGTCTAGCCACACCCTACCACTTCAGTTACCACTCAGCTAATCACTATTASGGAATTAATTCGCTGACTGGGTTAGGACTCTTAACAACCCAGTCATTTCTCCTCTGAACCTTYTTGCATTGTCTCACACCTGAGCTTTTGGGGTACACTCACATTCAAACCATAACATTCCAGCCCTGGCCCCCAAAAGCTCACACTCATCTGACAATGTAAAATACATTTAGTCCATTCCCCAAACTCCCTATAGTGTCAACTCTTCCAAGATTGCTCAAAGTTCAAGTCCAAAGTCTTCTCTGAACCTCAAGGCAATCTTGCATTTTGAGGTCCTGTAAAAATAAAAGCAATTTACAGGTATACAATATATAATGGTACAGAGTAAATATTTCCATTCACAAAATTAGGGGCATAGAAACAAGAGATAGGACCAAAGCAAGACCAAAAATCCAGCTGAGCAAACAAGTCTTGTAGCTCCATATCCAGCAACTGGGACATATGGCATTGTGGTATTCTCTCCAAAGGGCTTGTGAAGTTCCACCCCTGTGGCTTTGTTGGTTGCAGCCCAAGTGGCCTTCCTGTTGGCTTATTTCTGCTAGATTCTTGCAGTTTTCCTAGAATGATGTCCCATGTTACAAGCATTTCTTAATCTTGGGGGTTTCCACTGCAGCTTCAGCTTCCTCGTCATATCTCCACACTTTGCTTTCTCAGGGTGCCCACAGGGACTCTGACCCTGCYGAACCTTGCCTGCACTCCCAGACCTTCCTTTGAAATCTTCGTAGAAGCCTCCATGACCCTCTAACTTCRGCATACAGCATTCCTGTAAAACCAGCACCATGTGGTTGATGCCAAGGTCTGCCACCATCTAGAGCAGTAGCCAAGCCTCC